ATCTAATGCTTTGTGTGTGACACTGTAATTTTACATTATTAAACGGCACTTTAACCTGCTCATTATATTCAAGTTCATCCCAGCTGACATACATACTACTCTAAATGCTGAAGCAGTGGTTGTTAACAGCTTGGTGTACTCAGACTCATCCATTCAAATCCACTTATAAAATCAGCCTCCAATCCAATCACCCGAGTTGTCATGTCAACACAGCTATTCTAGGCCGTTTATCTATTCATAATATTCCCAAAGGAAAGATTCATTGCATCTATACACTATGGCAAGCCATCTGTCACAAAAGTGGTCATATGCAATATGCTTTAGTTTGCGTGGTGCTTTATATTAATTTTTTTTTTTTTGAGTGACCCCAACTGAACAAAAATGAATTTCAAATATCAAAATCTAATAAATAGTCGTCATGATTAAATTATATCTAATATTTAATGCAACCTGACTATGATCACACACAACAGCAACAGCAATCACAGAAAAGATCCCCCATCCTGACTCAAGGAACGCAAGGAGGTCAGATATTCTTAATTTTGTAGGTGATGAGCTGTTTATTATATGGATCCCCCTCATGCTAGGTTACAGTTGCTCTGTGAGTTGGCACTGTTTCAGCAGGCTGACTTTGTATGTGAATCGGAGCTCAGCATTGATTATTCATGCCAGGAAAAAGCCACTCTGTGCCTGATGCCTTTGCCCATTGGTGCTCTCTAATTGGTATGATAATGCAAAGAGATGAAAGGATGGGTGAATGAGAGCGATACAGAGAACGCAAGAGGATCATCACGCACGCAAACGTGTGAGACCTATATGCTGAATTTCCCTCTGTTTGTTTGTTGCCAAGGCACAGCATCAAAATACTGCAGCCTTCTCATCATCGACCTGGTTGTCCTAAAATTGAACGCCGTCTCCTCACATTTAGCTCACGTGTCGACCATGACGACCTTCTACTCCGGCCATGAGTACGGATGCCGGAGAGCGGACAGCTGTGAGAGGAATGCCTCTCATGTGCGTGTCAACCTCAGGCAGAACCCGCCGTCCACCTCCATCCTCAAGCAATCGCATCTCCAGCAGATGATGACCCAAGAGGGCTCCATCCACCCCATCAGCTACAACTCTTGCACCCTGCCTTTAAATATAGGAAAAACCAGGACCAAGTTTCTCAATTTGCGTGACAGTGTGAAGAAAAGCCCCACTAAGAGCACAGCCAATGTGAGTGGTCCGGGGGACAGGTTTTCTCTTTGGCCCTCTGTGTCATTTGATAAGGTAAGTTAGAGCAGAGAAAGGAGCAGCTCCACGTTTAGAAATTTTTAGATCATTGCCTCAGGATGCTTTTATGCTTCTTGATGTTATTAAATTGGGTTCCTCCTTTAGACTCATGACTGGTGTGCTCTGTCACGTTTTTGTTGATCTTGATGACTCGGACATATCTCTTTCAGTGGTTGTGTGGAAATTGTGGTCTTCCAATTGATGTTTTTGCTCACTGGTGTCTGTCTTTCATTGACAACACGTGTTGTTTGTCATCCTCTTAGTGTCTCAGAGTGCCTCTGTTTTGTTACTGCATTTCTTTGGGATTTTCCAGTCCCACATTCCTTATATTGTCTTAGCTTATTGGATTGTTGTGTAATATACTTTCATATTTTTTCCTTTTCGAATGTCATTTATTGTCAGGTCGATGCCAAGCTTTTTATCTGCTAATGTGTTCGATTCATTTAGAGCAATTAATCCCACAATTAAAGGTCTATAGAGGAGCTTTAAAGTGGGACTCCAGTCAATGCTATTGACAAGCTCTAATTTTAGTTTCTGTGCAGACCACATGTTTGGGGTTTAGGCACCACAACATTTAAAGTACCATCAGTATTGTTTAAAATCAAGTAAACCCAATGTATGTGTGTTTTTATACACTACTGTTCAAAAATTTGGGGTTGATCAGATTTTTTGAAAGAAGTCTCTTATGCTCTCCAAGGCTGCAATAAAAACAGCAATGTTGTGAAATTGTTACAATTTCAAATAACTTTTCTATTTTAATATATTTTAAAATGACATTTATTGTGTGATGGCAAAGTTGAATTTTCAGCATCCATTGCTTCAGATTTCAGTGTTGCGTGATCCTTCAGAAATTATTCTAATATTGTGATTTAGCGCTGAAATAACATTTATTATTATTCAAACAGTTCTGCTGCTTAATAAATGTTTGTTTGTTTTTTCGGAAATTGTAATGCATTTTTCCTACTAATTTGATAAATAGAGAGTTCAAAAGAGCAGTATTTATTTGAAATTAGGCCTGGGCGATAAAACGGTGTCGATATTTATCAACGGTACACCTTCTTCGATAATGATATAAAAATATAGGCGATATAGGCACGTGCTATGAGTGACGCAGATTGAGTGCTGTGCCTGCCTGTGACAAGGAGATTGTGAATAAAAAAAATTAATATGAGTCAAATAAAAAAAAAACATTTGCATTTGAATGTTAGGAGTGCGTCAGGGAGCGTCAAAAGTGGTGCACGAGATGCGGTGATAATGATGTGAGTGACGTTGTTGCATTTTAATGTTTTGTTAGTCTAGCCCACGAGATGCGCCGCTGCTGTTATGCATTCAAAATATTAGAGAAATATGGAAGCTCACTGTGGAGAAGATCTTGATTAGGTGAAAACTGAAACATTTACACAGATGCATATTCAGCGCGTTTTTAGACGGACAAATATGACTGCTGCACTCGCGTCTCACACAAGAGATGTAGCCATGCAAAGTTAAAACAGTTTAAACTTTTAGAAAACACGTCGCAAATTTGTGGAAGTTTATTCCTTTTCACTGCGTTTCTTGTGTTTTTAAATGCAATCTGCGTGATGGGCAATTCGGCTCTTTGTATTAAGCAATGCATAAATACATGATGCTGTTTTGTTCATAATTGTTAATGCAGTTTATGAAATTGTATTTTATTTATATGAGTTAATTTAGACGTAATGCAGGTTTTTTTTATAGACATTTATTTCCTTGCGTTGACAATTTAAATGTGCTGCATTATTTTGGTTATTGTGCCCTCCTGTGGCCTCGGGAGACAAGACAAAAGTTTCCGTAAAACCTATTTAATCTACATATAAAACAGAAATGAGATATTTGTTTAATGTTTATTGTGTGTTTGACTGTTAAAACAAAAAATATTTGTTTGTCTCAATAAATTGGGTTAATTTAAAAATACAGTGGTTAAATTAAAAAAAAAAAATTTCTATTGCTCTGTGTTTTAAAAAAGGTTATACATTTTTTTAATAATTATCGATACCGAATTACATGAAACATTATATCGTTGATACATTTTGTAGCTATATCGCCCAGCCCTATTTGAAATATGTTTTTTCTTGCTTTTGATTTGAAGCTGCATTCAAAATCCATTTGGCTCAAAAATCTTAAGGGGGCTTGTGTCCCATTGGTTTGAATTAAATATTAACACACTGTACTTGTCCAAACACTAGAGGAGTTACTCCTGAACAATCACAGGCTAAGATGTTGTTCTGCATAAAATGGCATCACTGCTTTCAGATTTGTCCAGAGAAATTAATTGAGCCATTCCAAGCTGTATTCCATGGTAAAATGTCAGTGTATTTTACTGAGAATTAAAACAGATAAATCCTATATGGCCACACTTCAAAGCCTGAAATACCTTCCAAGTCCCTTCTTTCTAGATGGCTGCAGAGTTAATTGTGAAATCTCTGCATATTGTACATCACTGGCTGAGTATCACCTGTGGTGTGCGAGTGTTGTATCAGGGAAAGCCAGACTCCTCCAAGCCATTCTCCAGGCTGGATGTCAGAGTGTGACGTGGACTTCTGCCATCATAGTGTTACAGTGTGTGTCTTCTCGTACATGAATATGTAAAGAAAGCTCATTCCTCTGTTTGTCATCACACAGCTCAGAAAACAAGTAGCACAAGTCTCAGTAACACTCCACAAACTTATACAAGTACACAACTGCAGGCGCTTAGCCAGCAAATGCCTCTTGTAACCTACTTGACATGTGTTCCTCTGGTACTGTGGGGGTAACAAACCTCAGTACTCAAGGTGGCTTTACAGTTAACCTAAAAATGTCCATGTCAACACAAAAGTGCATTTTGTGTGAATGGCACCTAGTGATATATTCTACTTATGGTCCTTCACAGAGCGGGTCACACGTGTGCGGTTAATCATGTGCGTCGACATTCAGTTGGGTCATTCTTTTCTCTTTACTGTTAACATTAGCATATTGTCAGTGTCTAATTCTAATGTTTGGTAATATTTCTATTCTGTTCAGTCTATAAAATCAGAAAAATCGACCCAGCCCTAGGTTCTGCTTATGTTGCTAGAAGTGTTTGCATTTGCATAGAGTAGGTTCCAGTCCTGCAACTTCATCTGCATCTATGTAGGACTAGAAGATTCCATAGCAAAGTACCCCGTGGTTCAACATTCATATATATATATTATTATTATTTTTTTTTTTACAAATTTGTAACAAGCTGAAAAATATGAATATGTAACCCTATAAAAACTGAATCACTAGAGTGACTTTACATGTTTTACAGCTTAGTTGATTATATCAGGAGCGTTTGTGGTGCTGCTGTGCAGGAAAGCTGTTTCTAGAGACCCATGTAGCTTTCACAAAGAAAAATCCTGACAGTAACATTAATGCTATCCTTTGGAAGTCACAGTGCGCAGGTGCGCTACAGATATATGCAGCCACAGTTTGTCTTCATAACTGTACCATGTGCAGCTGTGGATTATAGTCTCGTTCTCATTCACATGCTAATTTTCATTCTCTCCTTGTCTGAATTCTTCAGTAATCACAAACGGAGCAGCTCCCCATTGTGACCCCATTTGCTTCAATCTCGCTCACACACTCCTACAGACACCCCTCGTGGTGATTCCAATGCAGTGCTGTGCAATGTTATGTTGTTGTGTGTATATATATATATATACTGTATATATGTGACCTGACCTCTCCCCTTCCATGCTATTGTTCAGCAGACAGATGCTGTCCCACCCTCCACTCTCATAATCCCTGTGATCCCAATCTCCACTGTCCCTGCGGAGCCCGCTGTCATCTCTTCATCAACGTCACAGGTCTTTTTTTTCATTCTCTATTTTCTATCTACACCCCCTCCCTACCTTATTATTTTGCTATCTTCCTGTTGGTCATTTTTTCTTGATCCCTGCCATTCCACTGCTCGTTGATGGGCCTGAAGGATTATCAGCCCCAGAGTCGGGTAAAGTACTACGGCTCCCCTTGACTAATAGCATCTGCGTGTCAACCAGCCGGAGGAAGTGGAAAGCCCCACAGAAAGACAGACAGAGAGATTGAGCAAGCGAGAGAGAGTGGATTTAATTTTAGGCTACTTTTGGCTCGAAATAGCATTCATGCTTCAGCATTGCATGTTCTGCAGTATAAAATGCCTTGTACGTACATATGCTGGCAGCGCTGTGTTAATCTGGTGTGAGTGCCAGTGGTATTATTTGTAGCATCATGTGGAGAGTAAGTGAATATATCTTTGATATATAGAGTGATGCTTAACATGTCTTTTCCTAGTTACCTCATCTGCTGGACACAACAAATGGAATGGAAATGGATGAAATGGGAAATGTGCTGAAATCAATCCTTTAACTGGACTGTTTTCTCTTGCAGGCAAATCCTCCCCCTGTCGTGGTAAATACAGAGAGCTTGGATTCAGCTCCATATGTAAGTGTCCTTTTCACTTGTTTACACTTCAGTTTTTACTTTTTGGAATTCAGAATTCCCTCAGAGCATTTTTTTTGGCTCAAGTTATTGTCAAGTTACTTTAGGTGATGCCAGCAGAAAAATGTGCAATAGGGTGAGATTTGATTTGCGGCCGTTTGAAGTCAACATGAAATGGAACTTTCATTTTACTTATGTAATGTCATGTATTTTCAAGTGAAAAAAAAACATATAGGGTGGCACTTTATATATTTGGAGTTGGATTGAGAAAAGTGGGCATCATGTGCTCTTTAATCACTCTCACTGCACTTTGATGTCATACACAGATCTGTCTGTCCAGTGCCACTTTAAGTCGAACACACCTTAAGTCTAAATACACTAAAATGTGCAAAAATTATACCTTTAGGGGCAACAGCTTGTCACTGGGCCAGTATTCTCAAAGGGACAACTTTGTACCTCATTTACTCCAATAAGGTTCATAGTAGTACTCTAAGGGTACATATTAGAATTCCTAGTAGTAAAAATATTATGAAATATTATTATATAAATATTTTTATTATATATATGTAGTGAATAGATAAGATCCCTAAAGTTGCAAAGACTAAAGTCTCAAACCCAAAGAGATATTCTTTATAAAAGTATTAGAGTTTTAAATAACTTTCTGTCGTTTTACAGTAGTACCCGATTTATATTCATGTACGAGAAGACACACACTGTAACAATATGATGGCAGAAGTCCACGTCACACTCTGACATCCAGCCTGGAGAATGGCTTGGAGGAGTCTGGCTTTCTCTGACACAACACTCGCACACCACAGGTGATACTCAGCCAGTGATGTACAATATGCAGATATTTCACAATGAACTCTGCCGCCATCTAGAAAGAAGGCACTTGGAAGATATTTCACTCAGTCAGGCTTTGAAGTGTGGCCATATAGGATTTATCTGTTTTAATTCTCAATAAAATACACTGACATTTTACCATGGAAAACAGCTTGGAATGGCTCAATTAATTTCTTTGGACAAATCTGAAAGCAGTGATGCCATTTTATGCAGAACCACTTCTTAGCCTGTGATTGTTCACCCTACTCCAGGGTACTCATATGCACCTTTTAGGGGTAAGTAAGATACAGAGTTGTCCCTTTAAGGGCACTGCTCCAGTGACAAACTGCCTAAAATTAAAAAAAAATTCCTGACAGTGTACCTATTTGGCTATTGGTTTACATTAGCCTATGTGGCCTAGGTAACTTGAGCAGAAAGTTGCTTCAGAGTCCGAGCAAGTTATTTCATTTTGTTGAAAGATTATGAAGTTAAGTATAGGATAATGTGGCATGGAAATGATTGTAAATGTTCATTAAGGAAGTCAACATTTTAAACACGTGTTGATGAGATATATTTTCTTCAGTCATGTTTTTCACCGCACTATTATACTTGTACCAGGGTACCTCTGGAGCTTCGATGTCATGTTAGCGTAGAGTCTGGAATATCATTTCTGAGACCCATTAGTCAAAGCTAGCATTCATTCAGCACTGTACTGAAATGACATCTCTTGGGTTTGTTTTCTGCTTCATTTCCCTTGAGTCTGCCAGTGGAGTATCGAGGTCAGTAGTCTTTATTGTGCCACTCAGGGGCACTACGTCTGATTTTCTAATCAAGCACCACGCATTCAACCTTGACTTCAGCCTTTTTGCTGTATCAGGAGTGCCGCAGGTTCTGGCTTAGCATACAGATTCTCACGGGACACCTCGCCATTTTGTCTTATGTGATTGGGGACTGTAATTGACTCCATGTGGAAATTATGTTGTGAAGGCAAGTGGGGGTGAGAATATTTTTTTTATGTTGGCTTGTTTAGAGGAAACTACATTATGTGGGCAGTGTTGTTGTGGCTCAGTTAAGATGAGAATTAAATTAGGCTAATGACTCTGTCACTCTTTCAGATTTGTTATTTTTTGAAAGAGCTCTTATGTATTTATTGTGAAATATTATGATTTTTTCTATTTCAGTATATTTAAAAAAATATTATTTATTTCTGTGATGGCAAAGCTGAATTTCCAACAGCCATTACTCTATTTGTCAGCGTTACATGAACCATCAGAAATCATATTAATATGCTGATTTGGTGCTCCATGTTTACTGTGTAGTTGTGTAATATACTATTTACACATGCTAACACAAAATGTGTACATTGCGCATACAGTTAAGTCTTTTAAGTACTGAATATACTCAATATAAATATACAAGCTACAAAACTACTTATTATAAATTAGTAGAAATCACTGATTGGAGTCTTATGTCCTTGTTCATTAGCTCAATGTTCAGGACTCTGGCAGTGTGGTACTGTCCATGGAGACCAAACCAGTCGCAGCCAGCTACAGTGCTAATGAATACGTAGGCCCAATCCCTCTATGCATTACATAATCAAAGCTGAGTTCTTCTGAAAAGTTGTGTTGACTGCAGTCACATATTACACCATCATTGGATAGACACTGTGGATTAAGGGTCATTGTCTTTTTTATTGTTTAGTATCATGAGGTTGAAATCAAAGGAGAATCTAAAGCAAAGCTTAGAAGGTGACTTCAAGTTTGGTTCTAAAAACGATGGTACTACAACACATCATGATGTCAGATTTAACAGAATTGCACTAAACAAATCTCGTCAAGGTTTAATATTGTTAGCTGTATTTGCATTCTGAAGGCGGTCACACACCGGACGAGAAGCGCAACGCCGCGCCGGCGGTGTGCGACCGCCTTGATGGACCACTTTAAGAGTTTTAGCTGCATTTGCTTGTGCTTGTGTGTACAGGTCTAAGCTGCTCATCATCATCTTTTCAGGGCAGTGTAATGGGTTTATTCTTATGTTTCAGTGTCTGCTGTTAGCCAACCTTGCCACTGATTTCATTTAATAGCTCTGCTTCAACAGGCTCATCAGTCACACATACTTACAAAGATATATACACAAATTAGCATTTTCAACTAATGCAGCCACTGACATACTGACGTTATATCAATACACACCTATTAATCTATTCTATTCACTGTGGTAAGAGAGACAGCAAAAAACTGACATAAATGTGCATTGTGTGTGTATATATGTATGTCTGTGTGTGTGTGTGTGTTAAAATATTAAAACAACAACAACAACAAAAACAAATAGGAATTCATCTGTGGTGCTGTATATGGTCCCTTAAAACATACAGATTTCTTCGCACAGATTATACACCACATAGTGGCAATATGGAGCTCTGAAACAACTCTAGTGTGTCCGTTTCATTCATATCACAAAGCTAAATATGGTTACAAATAGGGATGCACAATATATTCACTGCTTCACTTATTGCTGATGTTAGACTGCTGGCTAATGTTAGAGAATGTTAGTTATTTAATTTAATGGATATAGAGTATATTGGCAGATATTGGATATTTAACTGTGCATGTTTATTATAGTCAAAGTCCCTTTAAGACAAGTCATGTCACTCAGCGGCCATCTTTGAAACGCCTCTCGGGCATGCAAGTGCAGCTCCTATCTCTTTGAATGGGGAAACATCAAATTCTCCAAAACTGTTCACTAAGCTTACGATTAAATTTCATATTTGAAATCACCAATTAAATCGAACAACAACTGTATCATAAATGTTGTATATTTTGCTCAAATAGTGTTAAAAACGCTTATTTTTCAAGCTAGATCAGCCAGTGCGCATGCGCAGTCCTAAGTGCACATCTCAGAGCGTTGACTGTTTCTATAGCCACTGGGACGTCTAACGGCAGCTGCAGTGATGCGCTGACTTTACCGATTAGTGAATGGCTCTTTTGCTCAGAAGGCGGGGCTTCGTTCGATAGAGCGGCCATACTGAGTGTTGCATTTTTCCCCATTCAAAACTATACGAGTGACACGTCTTGGATATTCTATAGTCTTTGTTATAGTTTACTCACCAGATTATATACATTCCAAAACAAATCAGTTTAACTTCATAAAATGGGACAGCCACAGCTTTTTACAAATATACATTTATTTGTTACATGATCTACTAAGAATAACTTTCACGGGGGAAGTCGTGCCCTAATGGTTAGAGAGTCAGACTCGTAACCCAAAGGTTGCGGGTTCGAGTCTCATACCGGCAGGGATTGTAGGTGGGGGGAGTGAATGTACAGTGCTCTCTCCCACCTTCAATACCATGACTGAGGTTCCCTTGAGCAAGGCACCGAAACCCCAAATGATCCCCGGGCGCCGCAGCAAAAAGGTGTGTGTGTGTGTGTGTGTGTGTGTGTGTGTGTGTGTGTGTGTGTGTGTACACTGCTGTGTGTGTGCACTTTGGATGGGTTAAGTGCAGAACACTAATTCCGAGTATGGGTAACCATACTTGGCATCACGTCACTTTCACAACTACACTTTTAACAAAATATCATTAATTTGAGTATTTTATATTATGAAATGTGTTATTAGAACTGAAACCTGGCAAACAGGTTTGAATGAAAATTAATGCATATTTGTCATATTAAACAAAATGTAGAAAATTATGGACTAGTGGTGGTGCTTAATGGTGGTGTCATAGGTAATTCAGTTTTTTTTAGGGATGCACCGAAATGAAAATTCTTGGCTGAAGCCGAAACTGAACAAAATGAAACACTGAGCTGAAGGCCAAATACTGAATACCAAACACGATTTTTCGAGTTCCCCGCCCATGTATTTTGCCAAAAAAAAATTCACCATTGCATAAATTAAATTGCCAAAATGTGCTTTTTACTGTTTTGTCTTGCTTTTCAAAGAAAAAAAAAATCAATTACAAAACAACAATTTAAAAATATTTAACACTGAACATTTTTAACATTCTAGCAGACACTATACCAACAAAGCATAATTTAACTTAAAATGAATAAGGTAGTAAAATAATATTTTTTGGCCATCAAACCCCCTTCTTGAATCAGGCATGTATTACTGTACAATTAAAAGCAGCCTTGCTGAGAAGAGACTTCTTTTAAAACATTAGAAAATATTTCAGATCCTATTTTGAACACTTTATGTGAATGTTATAATACATGTATTAACAGAGCTGTTGTAATGATTATTATCATTATTATTGTCTTATTTTTTGTTTTATTTTACAGAACAACAGTAAAATTGCAATACTAACATTTATGAATGTTGATAGAGTTCTTGCTTTTTCTCAACTTTTATTTTGTCGGAAATGCGCAGGAAGACCTCAGTGCTTCTTTTTGTTGACAACAGCAGATTTATAAATGAGTCTCATTACGAATACATCGCTCGTATCGCATTGTCATGTGCCTTGTAAAAATTCATAAAAATGTGACTGAGCAACTGACGAGTAACACTGGTTCAGTGCAGATTTTCCTTGCGCTTTGGACTTTGAACTAGTGGTCGACTGATATGGGTTTTTTGTCAGCCGATGCCGATATCTTGGAAATCAGGATGGCCGATATAATTTTATTTATTTTAATTTATATTTAAGAAATTAGAAATAATTTGAAAATGGATTAAAAATAATTGTGTAAAATAAACATACTTATACTTTAGAAGACAAACCATTTTTCACAAATAAATAAATATTTAATTAAAATCTAATTAAAAAGGAAGTAAACACTGTAACCAACAGGGCACTCAGTATTCAGTTTGTGTGCATTGGGAACCTTATTTTATTTTTATTTTTTTTATTTTTTTTTCAAATAAAGCCAAGGTGTAACACTCATTTTACATACAGCATGTAATGAAAATGACATGAATATGACATTGGGCAAATGCATAAAGTGCAGCATAATTTGAAATCACTAGTTTAAAGTTTGTCGATCATGCGTCTCCAGTCAAGCAGAACTCTCCTCCTGTCGGCATTCAATTTGCACGGACCGACGGTCACGCAGAGAACACGCGATCATGCAGGATACAAATGCACACTTCACAGGATCTCAACTAGATTCGACTAAGTCTGCAAGGTTTGTGAAATTAAATGTTCATTAGTCATTCAAAGATTTTATATAAATATATAAATGCGTATTTGCTGAATGCTGACGGCAAACGAGAAAGTATTATAATGTTTGCCTTTCTATTACTTAAAGCAATCGTTATAATACTTTTTGTATAGAATTTAATTCCTTTGTTTAACAATTCTATCTGATTATTAGACTTCTATCCATATTAGACAGAACTGAACAATGGCAGCAAACAAGAGGGAGAATGTGAGCGGTGTGCGCTCAGGAGCTGCCGTTCTCAGCGCCGTCAAAACAAAAAGTCCCACCTCGAACACATCGGCCAAACAGAAAAACTTATCGGCCAATGCCGATATTTGAAAAATTCCAAATATCGGCCTTGGAATATATATCGGTCGACCACTCCTTTGAACCCTGGTTAACAAGCAGATAGCGCGGCGAGTTCGTGCAGCGCTGTCAGAATACATATAATGCGTCCGTGTATTAGAAAACATAACGTTCTGCAGTTTATTTACTAATTGTTTAAGGCAGTGGTTCTCAACCCGTGGCCCGTCACGCATTCAAATGCGGCCCACCATGCTGAACACAATTAAAAAAATAACTTTCAGTTTTGCAATTCATTTTAGTTTTTACATTAATTTAAAAATGTACTAAACAAATATAAGCTAGAATGTTTTTATGTAAAATAATTTTGTTTTTCATATATTATTTTCAGACATGAGCAGACCTGTACTCATGTAATTAACGTTACGCATTTAACGAACACTTACAAGCGCGCACTTTGGCAGAATTCAATTCAAATAGTCATCAGCAGCCATTAGTTAAATTGAACATCAGAATGGACACTTGTTATTAAGGGAGAAAAACGAAATGTGGAAAATGCCAGCGAAGGAACGCATACAAACAAGAGTAGTCGCAGCAGTGAAGGTAGGAGAATGCTGGACTTTCGGCATCAACTTTCGGTTTGCCCCGCCACACATTTGAAGAAGTTCAGGCTAGAGCCCTGCACGGGCCTCAAATATATGACGTTCAGGCCCTACCCCGGCCCTTGTCCAACAGCTTATCAGAATTACCGGCCCGAGCCCATCTTTTTTTCCCCCTTCTCCCAAAACAGCTTATACTACTGTTTCAGCTATATTAAAATAGTTCCGTTTTGTATGTAATGGCAAAGTGATTATATTTTGTTTCGTTTTTTTATTAAGTTAATTTAGAAAAACCTTTGGAGCATTTTTGGTCGTTAAATATTAGTTTTTGGTTTTTTAAAGTAACGACCAAGCAGCCAGCGGCAGACAGTGAGCTGATCATAGCTCAATTTAGCCTTCTCAAATCATCATGACTTGCCTAAAATAAAATCTATAGATATAAAACAGTTCAAGCATATAACAATGTTTTAATGTTACATCTAGATAAATGTGCGCTATATCAAACAGTTTGTGTGGAGAGTGGAAGCTAAAGCGCGCTTTGCAGGACATGGAGGCGCCAGCGCGATTACTTGCATTTTTTTTCAGTGGATACGCCATCATTTTTACTCATAAAGGTAAGAGTAATACATCATTCGTAATGGTAAAGGGTCTAACAAAACGTTGTGCTTTTATAAAATAAAGAAAACAAACATGATGCGCTTTCTGCCGTCTCGTCTTGAAAGCTTTAAATTACTACTTAACGAAATAAAACAAAAACAAAAGCTATTTCATTATAATCATAATCCGTAAAAATGCACCTCTCTCTAAATAACTAATAACAATATAAAATGTGCAAAGGTGTGATGAGCTGCTAGGTTAAGGAATATCAAATCACTTTGTCTGTTCACTCAAACTGATTTGCGGAAATCAAAGCATGGCAATAATAGGTGGGTGCTAGCCAATGAGATTGCCACTTGCTCATTATTCCTGCCCACTATCGAAGGAACCGACAGTGGTTTGCGCTTGTTCTTAAAGGCTGAATAATTGCAAACGATCTCAGTCATTTTGACAGGAAAAAGAACAACAAAGAATGCTTTACTTGTGTTGTTTTTTGTGGTAAGTGACGATGAGTCGGCTACCTACACACTAAAGGTGCTTCAGAATACACTGCACATCCATTTATATCAATTGGAATAGTGTGCTTACTGTGCTTTTACAGGTGTAGTTGGTCTGTTTGCATTTAAGTTTTACCTGAATGGAGACTGTATCTCATTGCTTTTTGTATACCCAAAAGGCAAATGTCTACTACACTAATTCATTCTTCTGTAAAAGATAATAAATTGAGTATTGAAATATGTAAATAGTCTCTGACATGTTGTTTTGTTCACAGGTTAACGGTACTGAGGCTGACTTTGAGTATGAGGAGATTACACTGGAAAGGGTGAGTAGAATGACTAGTGCTGCTGTTCTATCTGAATCTTTTTAGTATTTTGTCACAGATCTCTGTTATTTCCCCTCTGAACAGCTTGTGTATAGCACAATACACAGCCAAATCTTTAAATGCTCCTATGCAGTGACTCCATTTACCAGCTCACAGGCTGTCAATTAAAATGCTACACATCAGAGCCGTCAGCGCTTGAGGAAGCATGAGAAACACTCTTCCGATTAACCAACTCTGTCTTTAGAGACTTACCAGGGAGGAGAAAAAGAGCACCATCTTGCCTTCCACGGTCAAGTCTTAATCCCCGACTCTGCTTAAGGCCCCCACCCCCTTCTTGTCAGCTTTTTTATTACCTAATTCAGCACTGCTCTATAGTGCACATTTATTAACTCCTGCATAAATAAACAATGCTCCTCCACAAGCTGTTGTCAGCCCAACTTAAAGCCTGCTTCTTATTTGCAGTAACATAATAACTCGTTGCAATCCACAACTGAAGACTGATGTTGTTTTATAGTTTGTATGTTGTTACAGACATGCTTGTTAGCTTATAGTAATTAGAATGTGCTGCCTGAAAATCCACTTTATTAGAGTATTCATTTAAACATGTTTTTATATATAATAAAATAATTAGTTGTATTAGTACTATAACAAATGCTGCTCAGTGCATTGTTAATGACTTTGGGTTGACTTTAACTGTGGTAAGAGCTATTTCTCTGACTAGGGCTGCAACAACTAATCCAATAAAACCAATGCAAATCGACATGAAGCTAGCTGACAGAGCAGAACAAGCTGTAGCATTTATTTTAAACCTACTAACAGTTATATTGATTATTTCTTAGATTTAATAATAATTGCCTTAATAAATGAAGTATGACACATTTTGCAATGCATTGTAATTACATGTTTGAGTTTTCATTTTGGAATTGTGAATTCAAATGCAGAAAGGACACTGCCATTTTGCATATCACATTTCCAGTTGAATTTAACCAGTTTTATGCTCCCATAGTCATTGACTAGAGCATAGAGTTGTGTTTTAATTAATGTTCTTCATGACTGTAACCTCAGCTTTTCTTTCACCTGCTGTGTAGGGGAATTCAGGCCTGGGCTTCAGTATCGCCGGTGGCACAGATAACCCTCACATTGGTGAAGACCCCAGCATTTTCATCACTAAAGTCATTCCAGGGGGTGCCGCCGCTCAGGACGGGAGATTGCGGTAATGCTCCAGTTCTCATCTGTTTCCTGCTCTCTTCCTGTTGCTGTTCATACTCTAAATAGTTAAACAAAATGTAACTTTTTAAAACCCCACGTGGTCAGTGATATATAGAGCAGTTTTTGATTTGATTTAATGTTATGTTATCTAATGCAATGACATCCAGAAAATGTTTTAATGTGACTTCATTTGTCCAAATACTTGGATCTACATGAGGACAGCCTTCAATAAACCCCTTTTTAAATGTCTCTTTAAATCAGTTTGAGGAATATGTATATATATTTCAATATGAGATTGTATTGTATTAACCACTGATCATTGTAATAGAGTTCCTCCTCATGCATTGTTGTTTGAGTTAGGATGGATTTGTCCTGTTTTGAAGTGGTGTTACTAAGTGATAGAGCCCTCCAGTGTCTCAGTGCTGTCAGAGGCTCATTAAAGCAGCACTACTGAGGTCCTGACAGCATCACACTGACAGCTCTACACACACACACACACACACACACACACACACACAGAGAGAGATGGAGAGTATAAAGAGCCCTATCATCGGCTGCATGCAATATTTGTAAACTGAAATGTTTGTGAGAGAGAGTTAATGAATGTATATCATAAAGGCTTTGAGACACTTACAGACCATGTGATGTATAATTGTATGACTTTAGTTTGTTTCAATAGACTTGATGACTTTTATAGTTTTTTAATTTTTCGTGCCCGGTAAGAGCTGTCACTGAGAGATTAATTGTAGCCTAGGTCAGTATTGTATTCTTGTGTGAAGGTGCTAAGATGCTGTGTTGAAGTGAATGTTGCTGGCTAGTCTGGATGCTCAAGCAGAGCAAAGTTTTGATAGCGTCACAGGCCACAATGAGTGTGATTAGATGCACATTTTTAAACCAATTATGCCTAATAAGCCGACAGCGTGCTGCTCATGTAACCGATTTCCTTTATCTGCAAAAGGTCATAAACAGCTTAACGGGTTAAGTAAATTAAAGATGAATATGTAATATAGTGCATATATTTAGCATAATGCTTTTTTGTCTAAAGTTTTTTTTCTATCTGAATGGCTTTTCTGAGGTAAATGAAATGCTACATGACTGTAAGGGAAACTAAGTCAATTTAGCTCAAAGGGAATTTATCTGTGAATTTTGACAGAATCACTGTTTTACGGCTGATCAACTTGAATCGGCCAGCGATTGAATGGCCATAACGGGAGTTCTGCAACTGATATTAATATCAAAGTATAGTGAAAAACACAATTTATTAGCACGGTAACAAGATAGGCAGTTCAAGATATTATTGTAAGCACAAAACACAAGATACTTCTCTTTTCAATACGAACAAAGCTTTATTTGACAAATCTAAGACGTATAAAATAATCTAATACAAACACTAGGGGTGTAACAGTTCAGATTGCTCATGGTTTGGTTCAGTTAAACAGTTTTAGGGTCACGGTTCGGTACGGTTTGGTTCAGTATGTGCTATGTTCAGGGAAAAAAGGACTATGGTCAAATAAAAATAAAGAAAATAATACCAAAAATTCAAACTAAATACAACAGCACAATTAAATACAATAGAGCAAAGATAAAAATAAAATAAACAGTGTTTTTTTCAAGTGCGTTTCAGACACAGACATTTAAAAGTAAACAAATGTAAAATAACAGCGCATATTTCACTGTATAAATTAAAGTTACAAAAGTTACAAAAAAAGCTTGAAGTTACAAAAGCTATTCAGTCAAGAGAAGTGAGTGATTTCCTTGTCTTTTGTTGTTTAACATTACAAACACAGAGAGCAGGAATAGACTGCTGATCCTGTACACTGATACTGGAGGGCGGCGGGGTGGACTGCGGTACGTACCAATAGTACCCTGATATGTATCGTGGGTGGTGTATCATGTTTTTCCGGTTCGGTTTGAATATCGTTACAACCAGGGATTGAAATTAACTTTTTCACTCACCAGCCAATTTGGCTACTAAATTTTTAAGTTACCGGCCATTCATAACTTCTACTAGCCAAAAAATAAATAAATAAGAAAAAAGACCGAAATAAACCAACAGCTTGAGGCTGTCTGACTCCGGGCTACTTTTACACTGTTGCCACGGGTTATAATGCAAGTTAGCGGTTCTAAATTCACATTAAACCACAGCTTCATGGGTTTTTTGCTTTAATTTATTTTTGGTTTTGTGCTGGTATTGGTATATTTTGCATGCTAGTGATAGGAATTGATCCCTTGGCGTTATTGGTTTGTGACGTAGCAAACCGAGGGCTATTTCAAACCGTATTTCTGGGTCAGCCTTTGGGAAACTACAGTTTTAAGGCGAAAATACTCAGCAGTGGTGTTGATTAATAGATTGGCACATGGTTTGTCTAAAGGCAAATTAAAAACACCATATAGACAAATAAACAACATAAAAAACTTGATTTTCACTACAGGGGAACTTGAAGGAAAAATTGTGCTATTCGTGTGATATTGATTAACTATATGAATTGATATAAATATATACATTTTCTGCCCCCTTATCTTGAATTATGTGATCATACTTAATGCATATTAATAGACTGAATCATGCAGTGAAAGAACGCACTCTAAATGCGCATGAGCACTAAAGCCTGTGTTGGTCTAACCAGACTTCATCACGTCGCGTATGCGTGCCTCTGTATGTGTGTTTTTTGTTTAGTTTTTGCAATATACTTGATAATGTGATGTCTCACGAGTTCAGTATTTGCGTTAAACCTGCGCAGATTTGGCTTGCATGAACTTCCCCAAGAAATTAATGAGTGAACATAACTTACGAAAAGTAACCCGCATTTTTACCCGCATTTGGTGGGTTGGCGGGGGTTAATTTCAAACCCTGGTTACAACCCTAATAAACACCCGCACTCCCACATTCACACAAGTTGCAGAAAGAGAGAAAGTGAGGAAAGAATGAGTTTTATGAGAGTGAAAATATTTATAGCAATATTCAATTGCTTAGACCTGAACAACCATTAATCATTTCATTTTACCCTCGCATTGAGTTTTCAATGAGGCTACGAAACTTTATTAAATGCACCAGTTCAGAATCTGGAGGTTTTCTTGCGTTGCCTGTGTTCGGGGATTCTTTTTGTTGTCGTGCTGAAAGGGGTTTCCCAGGTTGTTGATTCGCTGGAGGTCTTGTAGCATCCGGAGTGATGTCTTGGGAAGTGTTGACTGAAGAGTGGGTTCAGAGTTGTGTACATTGGTTGAAATTTTGAAGCGCGCACAGACAAAGTCTAAGACACGGCTTTGCGGCAAAACTTAGAACATCAAACTCTCAGCGGAAAAGAAAAGAAACTTGAGTAAAGAAAAGAAAAGTGTGACGAGACTAGATGCTAGAGGAGTAGCAGGCATGCGGGCCAAAAGTTGACAAAGGCATGCTTGAATGAACAAAAACCTGTGAACACAGAATTGTTCATGTGATAGGGGTTTAAACTCAGCTGTTAGACACATCCCTAATAGTGTTTTGACCAATTAGGCATTGTCTTAGCTCGGGCTGTTGCTATGTTTCTCCTCCCAATACATAAATCAACATGTTATCTATCTTGTTACATGTTGATAATAATCATGATAGTCAAACATGATAATCAAATGTGTGGGTTACATACAGATATGGAGTTATGCAATGGAATGATATTTGGTTATATTTCCTCTTAGCATCATTTTAAGATGATTTGATGCATTCATATGTAAAGGCAGTCTATGTGGATTTCTGTGAGTGCTAAGTAATTTAGTTCTGTGAGGAAGAGTTCAAAAAGGTCTTAGGACTCTGAGTCTGGTCTCTGTCCTGGGTGGGGGAAATCAATCTAGGGAAGTCTTAATTCATGATTTTCCTCATGGTTTTATTCATGATGGTCATGATGTGTTGTCTCTTTGACCATTAATTGTGGGTTACCTGCCCAAATTTGACAATCTTCTTCCTTAGGATTCTTTGTTTAAGCTGTGAAAGAGTAGGTTGGTTAGGTTGCTCTAGACTTGTTGGCGCTAGGATCCCGGACATATTTATGGTCATCCATTTTATCTTGGGGTCTCACTCTGGAATTCTTGCTGCTGGGTCAGTTTTAGCAAAGTTCTGATCACATTATAACTGTCTGATTCACGTTGATATTCTACATGAAATTGTTTACAAAGTGTTTTGTTAATGTTTTCCTGTGGTTAAAACAGATTGAGTGATTATATGAGACATACATTTCAGTATGTTGTACTGTTTCAACATACTTCCTGATATTCATTCATGTTTATTTTGTGCTGTAAGTAGTAGTAAAGAAGAAGAGCTGAACAGTTCATGTGCACTCAGCTCTTCTGCTTGAACTCAGGTGGCTACATCAATCTGTCACACCACATCAAAGAGCGTTAAAATGACATTTATTGTTTTAATTTCATAATAAAATTGACATAATTTTTAAATTCAAAGGTTGTTTTAATTATTGAATGGTAGAAATAATAAAAAAAACCTTTTACTTTACTTTATTAAACCAGAAATCAGTATTGCCAATCCTAAGGTCCACACTACTGACATGTTTACATGTGCATGAAGTAGACACTGACAGTCAAAACATGTCATCGTCATTGTGCTAATTAAACATTGTCATTTTGGTCACTGATTCTGGCCCTCCAAAACAGCAAATTCTAAAGGTGAAGTATGTAATGTCTCCTATCCTATCTTTATACTAACGATGCACCAAACTGTTGGCAACCAAAATATTTGGCCGAAACTGAATTTTTGGTTATAGAATATTTTTGGTTACTGAAATTTTGGTGCATCAGTAGTATTAAGCCAAGTACTTAATCTCTAGAATTTGCTGTTGATGGACAGTTTTAACTTTGTAAAGCCTCTTTTTTTTTTAACAGTACTTGAGAAACAATACAGAAGGCAACTTTTTGTTGTACAATGTAACAAAGATGTAACACCCTCAGTGTCAGATCACTTTGTGATTCTTGTATGGTGTGTGCAGTTGAATGAGATTGAGATGTCTTCACACTGCACTTTTGCTTGTGCATGTTTGACCTGTGCGTTACTCCACGCAGGGTGAATGACGTGATTCTGAGAGTGAACGAGGTTGATGTTCGGGACGTGACCCACAGTAAGGCTGTGGAGGCATTGAAGGAGGCGGGGTCACTGGTCAGACTGTATGTCAGGAGGAGAAAATCTGCAGCAGAGAAAGTCATGGAGATCAAGCTCATCAAAGGACCCAAAGGTAAAGTAACACCAACCAACTCCTCTTATTGCTGGTGGTCGACAAATATGGGATTTTTAATGGCCGATGCCGATATTGAGAAATCAATCTGGCCGATATGAAGCCGATATAATACATACAATATAATTACAGTAAATGAGAGACATGCAGTAAATTGGTGAAACTAAATGAACATTTATTATGCATAAATATTTATTAAAACCTAAATTTAAAAAATGTAAACAATTGAGGTAACAATTAGTGCAGCCTTTACTTATCATCTGAAACCATCATAAATATATATACATATATATATATTTATTTATTTATTTATTTATAAAACCTAAACAATTAAAATGTAAACAACAGAGGTAAAAGGTTTAGTGCAGCCTTTCTAACATTCATAATTAATAAACAAATTAGTATTCATAAATTAATGTCAAAAATAGTATGTGTAATTCCATGTATTTTATGTACAATACGTATATAGACCCCTTTTCAGTTAGTAAACAATGTGACGTTTTTTCTGTGGGCGGAGCTTAGGTGGAGGCAGAAAGATTCCCCTGACCATTTCACTAACGCTAGCTATGAAGTTTTGTTTTTGTATTTTACCTGAATATGTATGGTCATTTTATTGTGTTTTTAACCACAGCTGTCGTCGTTTTTCTGTCTGGCAATGGCAGCAGGTATGATAAAATTTCAAATTGGAGCCTGTACTCCATTGATTTTGGCACCCAACATCACAACAAGATGATATTTTAAGCTCCTTATGTAGCCGAATCTCTACTGGTTTGACTGTCTGATTCACGTTGATATTCTACATGAAATTGTTTACAAAGTGTTTTGTTAATGTTTTCCTGTGGTTAAAACAGATTGAGTGATTATATGAGACATACATTTCAGTATGTTGTACTGTTTCAACATACTTCCTGATATTCATTCATGTTTATTTTGTGCTGTAAGTAGTAGTAAAGAAGAAGAGCTGAACAGTTCATGTGCACTCAGCTCTTCTGCTTGAACTCAGGTGGCTACATCAATCTGTCACACCACATCAAAGAGCGTTAAAATGACATTTATTGTTTTAATTTCATAATAAAATTGACATAATTTTTAAATTCAAAGGTTGTTTTAATTATTGAATGGTAGAAATAATAAAAAAAACCTTTTACTTTACTTTATTAAACCAGAAATCAGTATTGCCAATCCTAAGGTCCACACTACTGACATGTTTACATGTGCATGAAGTAGACACTGACAGTCAAAACATGTCATCGTCATTGTGCTAATTAAACATTGTCATTTTGGTCACTGATTCTGGCCCTCCAAAACAGCAAATTCTAAAGGTGAAGTATGTAATGTCTCCTATCCTATCTTTATACTAACGATGCACCAAACTGTTGGCAACCAAAATATTTGGCCGAAACTGAATTTTTGGTTATAGAATATTTTTGGTTACTGAAATTTTGGTGCATCAGTAGTATTAAGCCAAGTACTTAATCTCTAGAATTTGCTGTTGATGGACAGTTTTAACTTTGTAAAGCCTCTTTTTTTTTTAACAGTACTTGAGAAACAATACAGAAGGCAACTTTTTGTTGTACAATGTAACAAAGATGTAACACCCTCAGTGTCAGATCACTTTGTGATTCTTGTATGGTGTGTGCAGTTGAATGAGATTGAGATGTCTTCACACTGCACTTTTGCTTGTGCATGTTTGACCTGTGCGTTACTCCACGCAGGGTGAATGACGTGATTCTGAGAGTGAACGAGGTTGATGTTCGGGACGTGACCCACAGTAAGGCTGTGGAGGCATTGAAGGAGGCGGGGTCACTGGTCAGACTGTATGTCAGGAGGAGAAAATCTGCAGCAGAGAAAGTCATGGAGATCAAGCTCATCAAAGGACCCAAAGGTAAAGTAACACCAACCAACTCCTCTTATTGCTGGTGGTCGACAAATATGGGATTTTTAATGGCCGATGCCGATATTGAGAAATCAATCTGGCCGATATGAAGCCGATATAATACATACAATATAATTACAGTAAATGAGAGACATGCAGTAAATTGGTGAAACTAAATGAACATTTATTATGCATAAATATTTATTAAAACCTAAATTTAAAAAATGTAAACAATTGAGGTAACAATTAGTGCAGCCTTTACTTATCATCTGAAACCATCATAAATATATATACATATATATATATTTATTTATTTATTTATTTATAAAACCTAAACAATTAAAATGTAAACAACAGAGGTAAAAGGTTTAGTGCAGCCTTTCTAACATTCATAATTAATAAACAAATTAGTATTCATAAATTAATGTCAAAAATAGTATGTGTAATTCCATGTATTTTATGTACAATACGTATATAGACCCCTTTTCAGTTAGTAAACAATGTGACGTTTTTTCTGTGGGCGGAGCTTAGGTGGAGGCAGAAAGATTCCCCTGACCATTTCACTAACGCTAGCTATGAAGTTTTGTTTTTGTATTTTACCTGAATATGTATGGTCATTTTATTGTGTTTTTAACCACAGCTGTCGTCGTTTTTCTGTCTGGCAATGGCAGCAGGTATGATAAAATTTCAAATTGGAGCCTGTACTCCATTGATTTTGGCACCCAACATCACAACAAGATGATATTTTAAGCTCCTTATGTAGCCGAATCTCTACTGGTTTGAATTGGCCGCCTTCAGTTTTCCCTTTGTTTTGCTTCCAGCTAGCGCTGTGACGTAATTGTGACGTTGGCACTTAAAGGGTCTATAGTTTACAGAGCAGCAGGTTGTTTTAATTACTGTATGGGATAGTTGGTTAATAATAAAGATATATGTCTCTGGTCTGTTTCGTTTTGCTTGTCTGTTTCATTGTAAAAATAATACAAGCCTGAAGGTGTATAATTACATGCTTGGTTATCAGCATATAGCAGCATTAAATACCCGAAAACAACGCTCATATCTGAGGAAGAGCCAGTCGTGGGATTTTTGATTGTTTGTGAAGTAAACACGGTTTAATTTTTGTTTGAATTTGTTTACATCACATCTGTGTCTCCCACCGGGGCTGCTGCTGGACTGCGGATATGATGTATCACTGTTCGTTGGAATAAGACTTTGCTGCACACCGGAGTGTTACTGTATGTAACACAGCGTAGCATCATGTTAGAAAGTGAATGACAATTGGTCTTTTTACTCTCTGTCAGGTGCTGGCTTCACATCTGAGTGGCTTGTCTTAAAGAGGAAGCATAAATGCACAATATGGTGTCATAATCCGTTTTGAAAAACATCGGCCACATGGAAAGACTTGTCGGCCGATGCCGATATTTAAAAACTTCCAAATATCGGCCGATATATCGGTTGACCACTAATTATTGCTGTTGATTTTTCACTGGTGCAGCTTTTGACATTGACAGTGTACCTGGGATTTTAAAAGTCATACCAGTTCTAAATGTTAGGTCAGTTTGAATGTAAATATTTATGATCTGTATAACGATTTAATGTGTAAAGTTTATTTCATTCTGCTGTACTCAGAACATTGTAGCACTACATAGTTTTATTTCAAATAGAATGGTGAAGAACAGAGTTTCAGTTTCACCCAACCAAATTTGACATTTTAAACCTCTAATCCTGCCTAGCATTACACTAAGGAAGCAAGAGTGCTGTGAAATCTTTTCTTGGGATTAATATCTGATCGGAGTTAAGAGTATGATTATTCAAGTCACGCTATATCTGAATACCATAGACATTGTCCCCTCTTGGGAAATGTGAAATATACAGTATACACACACACACACACACACACAAATACGCAACAGGGCTATTTTAAAGGGTTAGTTCACCCAAAAATAAAAATTAGGCTGTGTTTTTAGGAGCGGTGTGAGACACTTTTTTTTGTGGAAGGGTGCTTTTTATTTCACGTCTTTTGGACAGAAGTTAATGCAACACCCGCTGAGTACAACGGTAGAGCTTGAAAGATCAAATACAATTTTTAATATTACTCCGACTGGATTCGTCTGAAAGAAGAAAGTCATATACACCTAGGATGCATCGGGGGTGAGTAAAACACAGCCTAATTTTTATTTTTGGGTAAACTAACCCTTTAAGGCCAACCACAGCGTTTCCACAACACTGCAAAGACCTTAAGCTTCCGTTGCCATGGATACATTTCTCTCTCTCTTGCCTTTACACACAGTTTGCCGTATAATTTATGCAACAGTTTATCTCTCTCTTTTTTGTTTATTCAAATTCAATTTAAAATATTACTGGATAGCATTTTTATGTTGTTGTTGTTGTCTCCGTTGTTGTTGTGGTGTGTGAATGTTCATTATGACAGATATTGCTGATTATTTAGCTGCTGTTAATAGCTTTTTTTCATATGATGTCTGGTTGTTTTTTTGCTTGTTAAGATGTTTTAGGTCATAGGGCCAAATATTTTGCAGCTAATCTAAGTTTTGCTGTCACCATCAAATAACCTTTTGTTTTTGTCTGTATCTTGGTTTATACCAGGTCTTGGTTTCAGTATAGCAGGGGGTGTTGGGAATCAGCACATCCCAGGGGACAATAGCATCTACATCACTAAGATTATTGAAGGTGGAGCTGCACACAAAGATGGGAGGCTGCAGATAGGAGACAAACTTCTTGCTGTAAGGAAACAGTCTATTGTCTGTTGCTGATGACTGTGTACTTGTTAAATAGATTAATGTCTGTGTGTGTTTTGGTGTGTGTCATAGGTGAATAGCTCCTGCCTGGAGGAAGTTACCCATGAGCATGCCGTGACTGCCTTGAAAAATACCCCAGATGTGGTCTACTTGAAAGTAGCTAAACCCAATAGTGTCTTCATGAATGACCGTTTTGCCCCTCCTGACATCACCAACTGTGAGTTCCATTTGGGGGGGGGGGTCTTACTTGTAAGTGTCTTACTTGTACAGACTGTTGCAGTGTGTGAAGCCCATGCCCAGCAGTGATCGTATTGATCTGTGCTCTGTTCTGTCTAAACTACTATCGATTGCTCTTGTCTGAACGTGCCACCCTTGCAGCCATTAAGACCTACATTGTGCAGGGGTGGCACTGCGGTATAAATGCCCCTCTTTGTGTCTTCCTGCCCTTAAACAAGGCACTAATGACTCTGTAATGCTGAGGGTTGTGATCTGTCTGGACTGTGTGGAAGTGTTTTTAAGACAGCCCATCGGGATGTGTTTCTCCACATTGATTTGATTAGAAGTAGTATTGTCTTAATGGCACTGGCACTGAAAAAACAGTGGTGGCAGGATAGTTAAAGATGTCATAGACATGGCATGGTGTTCACAGGCATGCATCAGGCAATGACAATAAAAAAATGAAATTAAACAATTGCGCTGATGGAACATCTTGTCTAAACAACCCTTATCTGAAGTGCTGTTCATGTGGATGTCAAAGCACAGCCGGATGCTTGTTTTGAGAGATGTGAGCCTGATGCAAGTCATGTGTAAGGGACTTTAGCATTGTGCTGTAGCTTCAAAGCCACCAGTACTGTGGGACTACAGCTTTTGACCTACAACTTGTAGACTTTTGAAGACAGAATCATTTCCTAGTAAGCTCAAGTCTGTTAAATGGAAGTTACCTTAAAGTTATTGTACATTTACATAGTCAACCACCTTCATTCTCCACTGCTAAGCTCTTCAAAGGCTGACCCCAGACACACAGTAACACACGTACAGACACAAAAGCACACCACCAAATCAGACACGCTTTCATCATTAAAAGCTCTTGATCTCTCTGCCCCTTCTGATGCACCCCACATAACTCCTTTTAGACACACTCATTTTAAATCCTTAAACAGGATGCTTGCCATGTACCCCAGTATGAAGGGTGACTCCTATCTCAAAGTCAAAGCCTGCACAACTCTGCTGTTAGTACTGATCCCCCCTGTGTATGGGGCAATTAGACAAAACCACCCCCATATCGGTCACAATTTATGACATACTAGACACAGATGAAGTCCAGAAAACAGTTCAAAACCACTAGAATAGAGTTCAGGTTCGGTGAACTCTGACCTGCAAATTCGTATCATGTGAAAACTTGTAAACAATAGAAGATATGTCACAGCGTGACCACTTAGCTGAAATAAAAAGACTGCAAATTGTAAAGCTGCTGGTTTGCAGTAGAATGTATATTTTTACATTTTGGATGCTCAGTCTAGTGTGACCACTCTATACCATACCAAATTTTGGTATTGGTCGGTATGATATGGAAATTGATGCTATCTATTTTCTAAATTCATTTTGATGGATCTTATTGTGAACAATTAATTCATTCAAATGTGTTTTTTTGTAGAAGCATGGATTCAGATATGGTTTCATCCAATCAACTACAGTTGATTAGAACCACATCCCAGCTCTACTTTTTTCTTCGATAATTTGTTTCACAGAAGAAATTATCTGTCACTATCATTACATTGCTTTAGGACAGGATATTACATGTATCATTTGCAAAGGCAACCCCAGCATTAACTACAAACATTCATTGTTTCATTCAGTGCCAAAAGTGTTGATAGAAAATAGTTAAAAAATAATTGTAAACTATTTTACCCAGACTGTGTTCATTTTATATTTTATGCCTATAAGGGTATTGCATTGTTCTGATGTTGTATTGACATTGATTCTCCCATGCATATTTGTTTGATGCCTTTGTAGCACATTTCGAATCAGTCACTTGGGAGGTTTTTTTCAAGTTCTGATCATTGTAAAGACAGCAATGCTGTTCATTAGGTTGTGGAAGATAGCTAGGCTTGATTTTGATGCAGAAGGACTCACGTCATTCCTGAGACTCATCTATAGTGGAGCCAGCAGACAAGGATGCTTTACTCTACTTGACTTGAAAGACAAATCACACATTCAATCATGGCTGGGATCACATGGTCAAGTCTGTATTGCTATGCTAATCCAAGCAGCAATATCTTAATGCATAGAAGACAGCATGTGGAACGATGGTACACGGGCCTCAGAGAGCAAACCTGAGTCTGAGTTAATGAATGAGAAATAATTTTAAGTGTGCACAATCATTCAGCAGCCTGACTCAGAATGGAAATAATGCTGTTTATAGCTTGTAGATAGTTTTCAAGTGCTTTTTGGGCACACTGATCTGCTTGATTTGGCTAGTGTATTGCAGAGGGGGAGCCTTCATGTCAGTAGATTACATTTTTGTCCCCACGGAGAACCATAAAGCATGCATTTTACCATCTGTTGGGATTTTTTTTATCATGCCACTCTGTTGCATTCTGCTTCGCCTGAGGGTAAAATAAGGTTTCTGCAGCTAAGCCTCTCCTTCTGTTATAGACCGTAGCGCAGTACTGTAGGAGAGAATGCTATTGCCATTGCTGCTCCCAGCCCACTGAGCCCAAATATACATCTTACAACAATGAGAGGGCTCATATCAGAGGACAAATTGTAGAACAAGACCTGGATAGATGCATAGATAGTTAAAAGGCCTAACCATGGGTGGAAAGCAGCTCTAAAGAAGATAGCAGTGCCATTATTCAGCTCAATTTAGTCATATCATTCATCATTTAATCTCATTCATGGGGAATGTAATCAGATTGATTATATAATATATTTTATAGATTTATACATTTTATTTTTAATTTAATATAAAGTATAGTAATAGATCAGCATATGACATACCAAGAGTTTTTCTAATAGGTAACTGGATACTTTGGGGAATTTTGTGTAAATATTTTATAAAATAAGTGCTATATTAAGTGTATTATATTATATTTCTATGTTAAAAATGGTCCTTTCCAAGTACATTGTGGTCTTGAATCTTGAGCTCTGATACAGCTTTCCACTGGGGCTGGTGCCAGAGCTGGAACCGGTGCTTGGCCAAGAGTGGCACTTGTTCAGAACTGGCTCACGTTTCCGCTTGCAGGGAGCAGAACCCTCTACGTCACCAACCTGTGACTGGAATCGCTTGTTATCTCTTGCGGAAGAAGAGCGTTGATCTCTTCTGCTGACCACTGCCGAACTGATGTACTTAATTGTTGTTATTAATGTTGTTAATTTACCTAAACTGCTTTTAAACATAGGCTTGCTCGAGATGCATCGGCACCGTGCAAACTGATCGGTGTATGACAGCAAAGTACCACGAGAGAAATTCAAAAGTATAAAGCGTCATCTGCTCTCCTAATGCTCTCGAGGTACTTTGTTTTCATATGCCGATCGGTTTGCGCAGCACCGAGGCAACTCAAACAAGCCTAATGGCTCCTTTCAAACTGCGGTCTGTAGTGGAAGCTCCGCCTACTGACGTCATAGGTTCCCTTGTTTGAAACCAGCAAGGTTTCGGGGCCGGTTCGGAACCAGGATCTGGGCACCGACCCAGGATTTTTTTGAGTGGAAAAACGTTGTCCGGCTCCCAATTGGGCTCAGGCTCCAGCACCAGCCCCGGTGGAAAAGCGGTCTAAGAGCACATATCTGGTCTCATCCCACGAAAGATGTCACATCTCATCACGGGTAGAGCAGTGTTTTAGAGGTCTGCATTCCCGCGACCAGACCAGATTTTTTGCGCCACGGGATTAAATTCCTGAATAAAATGCGGTAGTGGTCGGTAACTCTGGTGTAATTTGAACAGGAGTGGGCGGTCTAACAATATCCCATTCCCGACGTCCTTTCAGAACAGCATATCTGCTCTTTATTCTTATTGCCCACCGATACAGCCTGCACTCGGACAGTTATGCACATGCTGCACGCATGCTTTCTGCGTCACACGTTTTATTTATGGGGTCTGTGCGCAGCATGTGCATAACGATGCTCAGAGCAGGCTGTACCGGTGGTAAATATACGGCCCTTGGACAGAACAGGCAGGTTGTCGATGAGTGGCAGAGCAGAATAAGGATGGAGCAAAGTGTGGATGCGCTGTCCTTGAAGGACGTTCAACTCGGTTTTGTTTATATTTTGCTTAGCCTATCATTTTAAATGACAGGTGTCATATTTATTTATTTTTCTCTGCGACACTTTTACTACTGTGTTAACAGAAAAATGTCAAACAAATTTAGTATTTTGACAAGACGAATAAATATAGCTAATAGGCTATTTTTGTACAACCTACATTTTCATTTTTTTTCTCTCTGCGACACTTTTTCCTATTGTGTTGTAAATGTTAAACGCATTGTATCCTGACAAGACGAATAAAAATAAGACATTTTTGTACAATTGTTTTTTTCCTACTGTGTTGCATAAAATATTAAACTAATTTCGTGTCTTAAGATAATTCATATAAATTCAAGTCAAAGTCAATAAATTTAAGACTCTTGACAAGACGAATAAAATGACATAGAATTTTGTGCAGACTACACTTTTATTTGTTAGCCTATCTCTCTTTCTTTCAATAGCAGAAATTTAAATGTGAGATTCTGGAAACAAGATCTAAATTTAGCGGGAACGGTCGGGTCAAGAAGACAATTATTCTAAGTGGACAGTGGGTGAACATGTACAGTAAATTAACATACTTTCCAGAAGGCCAACAATTCACTAAAAATGTTTTTTTTTATTGGTGTTATGAAGTATTCTAATTTGTTGAGATAGTGAATTGGTGGGTTTTTGTTAAATGTGAGCCAAAATCATCACAATTAAAAGAACCAAAGACTTAAACTACTTCAGTCTGTGTGCATTGAATTTATTTAATACACAAGTTTCACAATTTGAGTTGAATTACTGAAATAAATGAACTTTTCCACGACATTCTAATTTATTGAGATGCACCTGTATATAGCAGGAGCGGGTGGGTGCGGAATATAACCTTGCGGGAGCGGGATTAAAAAAATAGTCCCGCACAGACCTCTACAGTGTTTCATGAAGTGGACACTATAAGGAAGATAAGAGCTTTGTTTCACCATCTCACCATTGCAACATTTATCACATTTAAGCATGCATTCCACACTGGTGACATTACAACAAAAACTGCAGATGGCAAATACTGACACACGGACATAAAAGCTCGTTGGGACCTAGACCCGGTACTAGCTCTTTTTGGGGTTAAAGATGATAATATTACAATACCAAAGAGTCATTATTCTGTGATATACATTTGTGATGCTTCTTGCACGAAGACTGATTCTTCTTAATTGTAAACATAACCCATACATAAAATAAAATAAAACATAAAGAGAGGTTATGCAGTATCTTCAGTTAAAAATAATTGTTTTCTATAAAAGGATAAAGCTTGTAAGTTCTGTAACACTTGGAGATACTTTATAGATTGCTTTGAAAGTGACAAGGTATTGTTTCCATCTAAGATGTAGTCAATCAGAAACAAAGGTACTTTGAAACATTTGTGACAAACTTATACTATCTATTTTCCCTATTTTACCATCATTTTGTGATTATGCAAGTACGGATCATACTTCCAGTCAACAGAGCTCATATGATGATCCACTTATACCCTAGTCTCAGCCTCAGACGTCACGCCCACGAACCGTTGGCTGAACATCTCATGCATACGGCACACAAAATTGGAAACACTTCAGGAGTTTCAAAGTCGTCATCGGATTGTTTGAATATACAGGATTTCCGGGAGACGTGTGTGTCGCGTTCTTTAACGTTCTGCCTGGAAACAAATATGCCATGATGCCAAACCCCCTCATGTTAGAAGAAAGCAGTCGTGTTTACAACTGTGATAATGAGCGCTTATCAGGATCAACTAAACGCTGGGTTTTCAAAAGTATGTGAAATTTAAAGTTTGTGGCATAGTATCTTTAAAATATGTCCCAAGAGTTTTACACTGTTATTGTGGGAACATTTCCATGCCCCTAAACATGACGTGGCACAAAACGAAACGTGATTGGTTGCTCTATATGTCAGTCATATGGCCTCTTGGGTGGTCCTTGCCATTCAAACCGGCCAAGGTTCCCAGACCTTCTGCCGTCAGTCTGAAGGTCTGGCTACGCGAGACTACCTATACCCAGGCCTTTTGTCATGAGCTCAGCTAACTGTCTGCTTCAAATGAGACCTTTACAGAGAGACAAAGACGGGTAAAATAAGGATGGTTTAGGCTCAGTTTCACACTGACCCCCAGGTCTCATTCCCCCACATGGATATCTTTGTAAGTGGAGCCGCAGTAGTGGCCCAGGTGCTAAGCTCAGCCCAGGGTATCATTTACTGTCAGCGTGTGTCTGTTTCTCATAGGGATGCAAACTGAATAGCATATAATTGTGCATTTCTGGAGGATTGGGTAAAAAGATATCTTGGATCTCTTTGTTGCAAGCTTTTAGGTAATGCAGATCAAGATGTTTGAGACATGTTTCTATGACCTGTTTAAATGTTTGTGCCTGTTTTCCTCTTTCTCAGCCTATTCGCAACACATGGAAAACCATATCAGCCCTTCAAGCTATCTGAGCCAGCCGCTGCCTCCAGTGCATTCTGGACTCTACTCCCCGACCCCTAAAACCACGGTGGGGGATGATGATGCAACCAGGTATTGTCAAAAATTGTCTACATAAATCTACGATGGCGCTCATACTCAAGATTTTTTGGCACAATGCAGTGAGAAACGATGCAATGCTGTCTGTCTGTATGGATCAACGTTTTACTCTTTTACTGTTTAAATAAACAAAACTAATCATGGTCCTTACAAGGGCTGGGTATTGATACAGATTTCCTGATTTAATTCCAATCTTTGATGAAAGAGTAGTTTGTGAGTCTTTTTCAGTGATTCATTAAAAGGAGTGGCTCATAATATTCTTTTTTTTTTTCAGACTACATTGATGGTGCTGTATATTATTTTGTGCAACTCAACAGAATTATTTCTGCTATTATTTTGTGGTACACTTAGTATCATCAGTTGAATACCAGATTAATCTTGTACTTATAAGCTTATTGTTTGAGTTCAACAAAAGGGGAGCTTCAAGCTGTTCATGATTATTTTTATAATGTGATGCCAGAGCAAGTCAGTGCTCTGATGCCCACATGTGATGTTCAGGATGCTATCATGACCTGTTTAGTTGATGAGATGCTCTCTGAACTTTTTTGATATAGTTCACTGGAGTATCGAATTGCTTATTACTTTTACTCAGGTCAGCTGGCCCAAGCTGCAATGCCTCACTGAGGGAGTTGTCAATTGTGAGGGCAGATGGCAGTTCCCATTTCAGCATGTCATCCACGTCTGAGAAAAGCATGTGATGATTTTACAAGGTTAAATCTATTTTAATTTCAGAATTGGCCCACTTTAAGAGAGCACAATAAAAAAATCAAACTGGTTGCAAAAAAGGGTGAGGTTATGCCATTTATCCAGATGTAACACCAAACTTTTAGACACAATTCTGACCCAAAACGACACATCATTGCCGATTTAGCTATTTGATAAGCTCTCAATTTAGCCCATCCGTGTGATTTTCATAAAAACCACTGTGCATCATCAAGCCTCTTAGCCAGCTTGCCAGAAAATGAATAAACAAGATTGTCATAATCCAGCAGAACAAACGGTTCTATTAGTCTGACCATTTAGGTCCACAGGAGAAGTTTAGCACAACAATCAAACATACAGTACAGTCTGAAAGGAGCATGTGGCTCCTTCTAGATTTCATTGTGTTCATTGTTGTTTTTTATAGCAATGCTCTATTTAATAGGCAAGAGATGATGTGATAAAATGGTGTTTTATTTTACAGTATCAGTTAGGGTGACCATACGTCCTCTTTTCCCCGGACATGTCCTCTTTTTGGACCTAAAAAAATGCGTCCGGCCGGGATTTCTAATTAAATCGCCCAAAATGTCCGGGATTTGGCTTTTGCTTTCTATAATGGCCGTTCATTGTGTGCATTTTTGTATTAAAGCTCTGTGGGGGTCTGTTTTCTTAATCCCACTCCCAATTTCTGACCATTACCGCCTGCTCCTGCATTTTTAATATTGAATATAATTTTTGCGCATCAGGAAGCCGCTATCAATATGTGGAGTAAATCGCTTTGGATGCAGCTCGTGTTGGATGCAGGGTTGCCAAATCTGCATTTTTTTCCCCACGGAATTGGGCTGATTTTACACTGTTGCGGCGGGTTGATTTTCTTGCATAGGTTTGAAATATTGCATAAATTACATTTGACTGAAATGCTTATTGAAACATTTTGCATTCTACCTATGATAAAACTGTGGTATGTTTATGATCAATCTGCAAAATCGGGACTAAAATATGTATTTTGGGTATGGAAATAGCATATTTTGAGTTTTGATATGGGATATGGTCATGCACTACTTTGGGGGCTACTTTAACCCCCCTCAAACCCAACACCCAATGCCCCCCACCCCCTGTCTGCCTCCTTTCCCCCACTGTCCTCTTTTTTGAAAACTAAATTATGGTCACCCTAGTATCAGTATTATAAGTTAGCCACAGGGTTGTTTTGTGGCTGTGTGTTGTACAACTAGACCAGCAGTGCCTCCAAGAGGCCAGTTATATACATTGACCTTGCACTCTTAAAGGAATATTCATTTGTAGCATTTCAAAAATAATTTCAATTTGCCCCTCAGTTTGACAATCACATATTCAGTAATGCACTTTCAGAAGTGTGCGTGCAGAAGTAAGGTGTTCAAGGCACCTGAAAGCGGAAATATGATGCTCATATATTATTATAGCATGTTAAAAATATTAACATAGAAAAATTTTATTTTAGATTGTAATAATATTTCACAGTATTACTGTTTTTATTGCATTTTGAAAAATTAAAGCAACCTTGGTGAGCATAAGAGACTACTTTTTCACAGGTGGCCTTGTCATTAAATGTGATCTTACAAACTAGTATGTCTAACTCATAGAATGTTGCTGTATGACATGTACAATACAGAGAACACAGCATACAGGTGCATCTCAATAAATTAGAATGTCGTGGAAAAGTTCATTTATTTCAGTAATTCAACTCAAATTGTGAAACTCGTGTATTAAATAAATTCAATGCACACAGACTGAAGTAGTTTAAGTCTTTGGTTCTTTTAATTGTGATGATTTTGGCTCACATTTAACAAAAACTCACCAATTCACTATCTCAACAAATTGGAATATGGTGACATGCCAATCAGCTAATCAACTCAAAACACCTGCAAAGGTTTCCTGAGCCTTCAAAATGGTTTGGTTCACTAGGCTACACAATCATGGGGAAGACTGCTGATCTGACAGTTGTCCAGAAGACAATCATTGACACCCTTCACAAGGAGGGTAAGCCACAAACATTCATTGCCAAAGAAGCTGGCTGTTCACAGAGTGCTGTATCCAAGCATGTTAACAGAAAGTTGAGTGGAAGGAAAAAGTGTGGAAGAAAAAGATGCACAACCAACCGAGAGAACCGCAGCCTTATGAGGATTGTCAAGCAAAATCGATTCAAGAATTTGAGTGAACTTCACAAGGAATGGACTGAGGCTGGGGTCAAGGCATCAACGTCAGCGGCATCTTACCTGGGCTAAGGAGAAGAAGAACTGGACTGTTGCCCAGTGGTCAGATGCATAGAGAATCTATGGGGTATTGTCAAGCAGAAAATGAGAAACGAGACCAAAAAATGCAGATGAGCTGAAGGCCACTGTCAAAGAAACCTTGGCTTCCATACCACTTCAGCAGTGCCACAAACTGATCACCTCCATGCCACGCCGAATTGAGGCAGTAATTAAAGCAGAAGGAGCCCCTGCCAAGTATTGAGTACATGTACAGTAAATGAACATACTTTCCGGAAGGCCAACAATTCACAAAAAATGTTTTTTTTTTATTGGTCTTATGAAGTATTCTAATTTGTTGAGATAGTGAATTGGTGGGTTTTTGTTAAATATGAGCCAAAATCATATAAATAAAATAAAAATCATATCAAATAAAAGAACCAAAGACTTAAACTACTTCAGTCTGTGTGCACTGAATTTATTTAATACACGAGTTTCACAATTTGAGTTGAATTACTGAAATAAATGAACTTTTCCATGACATTTTAATTTATTGAGATGCACCTGTATATTCCTGATTTATAGGACAATGTAATGATTTTGCAACCTGTTTGTTTTGGACAAAATGAACAGTTTGTGTATGATGCTGTGAGTCTGTAAGTTTAGTTGTTGAATGTGGAAATAAGGACATATGTTTTAATGTTTTGTCATAATGTTTTGCTTATGCAGGGAACCCAGGAAGGTGGTGCTGCATCGAGGCTCTACAGGGCTTGGCTTCAACATAGTGGGTGGAGAGGACGGAGAGGGCATATTTATTTCCTTCATCCTAGCCGGAGGTCCTGCAGACCTCTGTGGAGAATTGAAGAAAGGAGACCGTTTGGTGTCTGTGAGTATTTCAGTGGGGACTGAAACCGTGCCCTGCCACACTGAAGATGAACATCTAATCAGGAGTATTTCTTACAGTATTCAGCAGACATACTGAGCTCAGTGCTAAACAGTGTGCAAGACCACTATCATACTGCTTATCCTATTGATATAAAAATGGCTGTACCTTTCTTAGGTGAATGGAATAGACCTACGCAGTGCCACTCATGAACAGGCTGCGGCAGCCCTGAAGAACGCTGGACAAGCAGTCACCATCGTTGCCCAGTACAGACCAGAGGGTGAGTCTTGCTCACAAAAGTAAAGTGTAAAAAACAGTGCCACTCATTAAAAACAAACCAGAAAGCAATCAGTGATCAGCAGGAGTCTCTTAGCTGTGTTATTGCGAGAAGTAAAAAGCTAATAAGCCAATACTCCAGTTTTATAGCCTTCTATTGACTCCTTTGTGCTAAGTCGGGTCTTAAATAGAACTCATAAAAATTTGATTTGGATATTTAGTCATCCAGGTCTGACTGTTCAAACTGTCCTACAGACCATTATTATACTCTTAACAATGGTGGTACATTTCTGATGCTTTGTCTTTCTCTCCCCTTGATACATTTTTTTTAAAAATAAGATTTGCTTTTAACAGCAATAGACTCACATTTTTAAAGTATTGATTCTGACAGTTTGAATTTCTTCTTAGAGTCAATGGTTGTTCTGCATCATTTACATTTGTGCGCCATCTGCATCCTGTGAACATTTTAGAAAAGATTCAAAAAGACGACTTCCATGATAAGGCACAAATTGGTGTCCAGTTGCTACTTAGTATCATGACAAAGCTATTTGTGTGAATATTTGTATAACTTTGATAATGTGTTTTATTGATAACATTGTTTTTTTATGTACAAATATTCAGCCTCACTCTTTTTACATGAGTCTTTTATTCCCTCATACACACAATGTTTTATGAGGGCTTTCAACAGCAGCATTCTGGGAAATGTGCAGTAGTGATATTTGTGGCCTTGTGTTTCAGAGTACAGCCGATTTGAAGCCAAGATCCATGACCTAAGAGAGCAGATGATGAACAACAGCATCAGCTCAGGCTCAGGGTCCCTGAGGACCAGTCAGAAGAGATCACTATACGTCAGGTACTAGACAAATATCTACAATATTCTATAAGGAAGGATCTGGAAAACTGCATATAAAGTCACTATGAAATCAAAACTGACGATTTTTATTTTTTATTGAATATTTCAGTGTTTATTACAAATAATTTACAATGAACTGACTATTATTATTTGTAATTTGTATTATTCATATTCCCTTGTAATATTTAATCCCCTCACCCTCGCAATGACAACTCTTTTCTGATTATCTGTGCACCGGCGCAAGGGCTGGGCAAAAAAACCTCCCTCCAACAACCTGTCACTCACATGAGATCACAGCAATTAGCTAACAACAACGATCCAACTGTCCAGTCAATTCCTGATGGACGAAGTCAAGTCCTACATTTTTACTTGTTTTTTCTTGTTTCACATGGATATACAGTATGTCACTGTAGAGAAAAATAGACCATTACAATTTCCATTTCATGCCAACTTTAAATGCTGTTTTTTTTAACTAAATTGCTTATTTGGAATAAGATGTCTTGTATTTGCAGTTTACACACCTATTGAAATGGTTTAGCAATTTTTAAAGCTTCTGTTCAGACTTTACCATATGCTCTCAGCTAAAGGAGCAAGTATCTAGTCTGTGTTTTTCCTTTGGTCTTACTTTGACTGTTTTCTGCAGGGCACTGTTTGATTATGATAAAACTAAGGATTCTGGGCTGCCCAGCCAGGGCCTGAACTTCAAATTCGGGGACATACTGCACGTGGTGAATGCTTCAGATGATGAGTGGTGGCAGGCACGGCAAGTCACTCCTCAAGGAGAGGTGGAGGAAATGGGTGTAATTCCCAGCAAGAGAAGGTGAAAGATTGAAGCTTATAAAATTACAAATATAATTATTATTATTTGCAGATACATTTAGGCTGGTAGGTTTACTTGGATGTAGGGCATGCTGACATTTGTGTTTGCATTAAATAGTATAAATAGGTCACCCAGCACCATTCCACCAAATTCTTCCAGAATTTTTTTGACCGGACCCGAGTTTGTCATCGTGTATGCTTAGCTGATAGGTTATTCTCAGTAGCGTCAAATTGCATGTCTTAGAGATGTTTTCCGATGAAGGAGCTTTAAATGCAGCATAACTGATTAATTGTGAATAACAGCTATTGTAATACGAGATCCTTATGTTTTCTCTGAAGAGTGGAGAAGAAGGAGAGAGCAAGGTTAAAGACAGTTAAGTTCAACTCCAAATCGCGAGAAAAAGGGGTGAGTGAACATTTTCTTACATGCATACCTACATAGATTTGAACAATACTCTGTTCCAAAACCAAGTGAGTTGCTTTGCTGTCTACTGCCTACATGTCTTGTAAGACCACATCCTGACTGATTTGGAGCCTCGTAAGTGCATTGCACTTTGCATTGACAGCCCCCATGTCATGCACACAAAAATGCTGAATAAATTTGGGTTTTAAGTTGTGTTAGGGTTTTCTAACACAACATTTCTCTCAACTTGTCCACCTTGAATTAAGTTTTGAGTTCATTTCAATGTGTTCTGGGATTGCTTTCTCTGCAAACCATAAACAGCCATTCAACAGTTTGTGGTTGATTAGATTTGTACTGTTTTTGAAAATACAGTAAAAATGGTAATATTGTGAATTGTTGTTATTACAATTTAAAATAACTGTTTTCTGTTTTAATTATTTTAAAATGTCATTTATTCCTGTGCCATTACTCCAGTCTTCAAAGTCACATGAGTTTTCAGAAATCATTCTAACACACTGATTTGGTGCTCAGGAAATATTTATTTTAATTATAAATGTAGAAAACAGATGTGCTGCTTTATTTGTAATATTAAATAAATAAATATGACACTTATCAGGATATTTTGATGAATATAGCATTTTTTGAAATAGAAATATTTAGTAACATTATAAATTATAATTGTATGCGTTCTTACTAATGAATAAAGAAATAATAAATAAATCCTACTGACCCTAACCATTTGATTAATTACATTGGCATGCTGCCTTAGATTTTGTCCAAAACATGGAATCCTAGAAAGCAGCATTTTAATATGCTTCGTTTGCTTGCTTCCTTATGGAACGACCTTTTCATCAGGAGTATGATGTTGGCAACTCACTAGGGATTGGAAGAAAGCTCTTATGTTGCTTATACTGTGTATCTAGAATGACATTGAAATGCATTTCAAATTGCTTTACAAATTAGTATTTGCAAATTTTCCTACCTCTGTGAAAGTTTGACCGTTTGATATTAACTCACAATTAATAATGCTCCGTTAGTGCATTCAGTGGAATGTAATATTCTGATACTAATCAGTCTGCCATATGAATGGTACAGTCTAAATTAACAGCATGCATAGCTGCAAGTGTCGCAGGCACAAAAAATGGTCATATGTTATATAACACATATAACAGTACTATTATACATCTATAACTCATTTATGAGGCATAGAAGTCAACACCAGATTATCTAACAGCCTGAGAAAACATGCATGAAAGGAAAACGAAGGATAAATACGCTTGCCATTGATGTCGGACTGCTCGTCCTTCTGTATGCCACACCTCACCTCTCCTGTCCTTCATCCTCACACTTTTCTCTTTTTACCTATCGTTCAAGCGCTCTCCGATAATCCATAGTGCTGCAGTGTAAACCAGCCAGGCTTATAACTGATCACTGCATAAGAATGGAAATGCACCTGCAGTCTTGGTGCTGCATCATTGCAGAGGAAAAGAGCCATACAGTAATGCTTAAATAATTTTACATACAGGTTTTCACAGCAAAGTATTTCATACTATATTTGCCTGCCCTTGAATGAAAGAAAAGGAAATCAGGCCAACTTGCTTTTTGTTTTGTTGCATGTTGCTGCTGATAAGAAAAGCATCCACAACCAAAGCAGTTATAGGCCTCCACATGCTTCTGGCACACCCACAATGCTTCTTACCCTCTGCATGCAATTCTGTCCGTCTGCTTCTCTTGTGTTTGAGATTTCCTGCTGCTAGCTGTTTTTTGAGTCTATGACTCAAATCCTTTTATTTGTCCACTTCAGTTCTTCATGCATTTCATGTACAATTCTGACTTTGTGACATCCTCCATTAATTGAGTGAACATCTATAAAAAAGACCTATAATTGTATCATTATGATTTGATTAAGCCGTCAGAGGTCCACAAAGTCGAGAGCAGAACAATCATCCTTTATTTTTTCCATATGGACATTAGACTGCCCTCTTCCCCTTCCCTTCTTTTCTTTTGCCCTCCCCTTCCTTCTCTTCCTCAGCAGTCCCTCAATGACAAGCGTAAAAAGAATCTGTTTTCCCGCAAGTTCCCTTTCTACAAGAACAAGGAGGCGAGTGAGCAGGAAACAAGCGATGTGGACCGTAAGTACAGAAATCAGCACTTCAGCGCAATGCTGGGCAAGAATAGGGCAGCAGGTCATAAGGACAGAGGTGGGCACTGCTCCACTGGACACAGCAGACATCAGAGCCTACTTTAGTTATAGCAACACCAGTGGACAGAGACAGCTTGTTGCCTGCTGTGTTCAGTGGCTGGACCAGGCCTTAGAGTGTCTCAGTAACCCTTGTACTCTTGTGGTTGTTGTCTCTCTTGTTGCTCCCTTCCTGACCGATCCACAGGACAACCCAGATGACATGCTATCCAAAGGCCAGAGTAAGTTTCCCATGTAGATGCCCACTCGGTCACCTCTGGACCAGACTTCCACTCTATCTCTCTTCCTCTCACATATCTCATTCCTCACTCTCATAATTCATACAGTACCAGACAAACAGTTTTCTATTTCTGCTGTTGATGGTGGAGGTGAAACGTAGTTTGTTTTTTTTTACTTTCTGTCTCATTGTGCTCTATGGGATCTCCTCTCGTTCAGTACCTGCATATTTTATTTTCTCTTGATTGGAAAATAATCTATTAATTTGATATTTATTTGCCATCATACACTAGATAGGCAAACTATTATCTAATTACAGTTTACTGTGTTTACTGTTAACTCCTCAAAGGTCCCTTGTAATGGCTTGACGGGTGCAGTTTTCTTTTCTGTTCAGGTTGACATTTTTTGTATTGACTCCATAAATCACATTAATATGGGCAAAAGCATCGAAGACACCTTCAAAAATAAATTCCAAATACTTTGTAACTAAATTATTTTTGGGAAAGGAAATGAAATACGAGCATGAGGTTGTATTCTTAATGTGAAATTGAGGGGGAAATCTCAATCTAGAGACCATTTTATTGGACAAAACTTGAATGCATTTGTGTATGCAAGATAAGTCATCTTTTGCTGGAAGATAAATACTTAAAGGGTTAGTTCACCCAAAATTGAAAATGTTATCATCATTTACATACCCTCATGTCATTCCAAACCCACAAGTCTTTCATCTTTGAACCAAAACATTTTTGATCTAGTCTTCTGAAGAGACATGATCACTTTATTTCAGGGGTCTCCAACTGCAGGCTGCAGACTTCAGTTCAAACACAGCTGCCTGTAATTTTCGAGTTACCTTGAAGACCTTGATTACCGGGTTCAGGTTTATATGATTAGGGTTGGAGCTGAACTCCGCATAAAAGTAGCTTTCTAAAAGCAGGGTTTGAGATCTCTGCTTTATATGATGAAGAGATTTAATTTAGGCTTTTATTTTATTCTTTTTGTGTTCTGTTCATCATTTGAAGCAATTCGGTATCTACAAAATCCTTAGATTAAACTGCTTGATTCATTCGGATTACCTTCACAGTGTCTTTATGAACTTTTTGAAGCTTAAAAATTGTGGTTGCATAGACATTGAAAGGACAAAATATAAAAAAATATCTTAATTTGTGTTCCAAAAATGTAAATAAATGATAACAGAAATAAAATTTTTGGACATTCCCTTTAACATTCTAAATCTGTAAATCTGCTAGTTCATTCATTTTTAAACATGTTTGATACCACAGACCTCTTTATACATTGAAAAAGACAAAATATTGTGTACAATAGGGAAAACTAGATGAAAATAGCTAAGGAAATATTTAGGTTCTGTTACATTAACATTGTGTTAGAGTACTTTTAGATGTACAACATGAAGAGATACATGAATCAATGGCTGATGGTAGAAAAAAATTGTGATTAATCTCATGAATTCTGACCAGTCTTTAGAAAGCAGAATTAAACCATAATAATGTGAAATTATGTAAATGTAACTTATTTGGAATTATTTTTATTATTTATTTTACTATGACCTGTGCTTGTTAACTTTGTCAACTATTAAGAGTTACATATGACCTCAAAACTACCAGATATGGACTAAAAGCCACAGAACTCATTTCATGGGGTCTCAGAAGATGTACTATGTCCCTTAGTGGTGTGAGTATTTCTCCACTATGGTGAGACTCAGGACTGGTATTTTTGAGTCACCTCAAGCATCATCTTGTGCTCCTGTTCTTGGTTTTCATCATCCATTCCACCTCTGTTATGATTTCAGAGCATGTCACCTCTAATGCCAGTGATAGTGAGAGTAGTTACCGTAAGTTCTTCCTTCCATTATGCCCTTCATCTGTCTTTCTCATCTGCTTTTTTCCCCCGCACATTTAACAATGTTATTCTCTCTCCTGTTCTCTCTGCTATGCATTAATGTGTATGGGAGATCCATTTCATAATGTAACATAAAAATAAATAAATTACCAAGCAATGCTATTGTGGATTTATCAAGAGTTTACATTGCTGCCTGCCCCCCTTAACTGAGCAGCACTGCAGCGAGACAGGATGGGTAATGTTCCAGAAGCCACACAGATACAATACCAAAATCAATCAGTGAGCCCTCTGCCAGCCCCTGGCTCAGTCTCCATAGCAACAGTGCACCTACCCATCATTTCCCAGCCCTTGCCCTCTCTCTGTCAGAGACAGTCAGAGTCACAGTGGTGCTATATCAAAGCCACTCTAAAGATATTACTATACTGTCTCATGGGGGCCAGATGTTACACACCGCTGTGATCAGCAGTACAGAATGTGCATTAGTGCAGGGCATTACCAGCTACTGCATGGTACGGTACACTGTGTGTCATATCATAATGGGATTGTGAATGAAACTGCAGCAAAGGCACAAAATACTTGAATCTGTGGGATCAACGTTTTTGTCCACTATGGCCACTAACAGTTGGAAATTATATAAATGCAAACATAAACAATTAAAAATGTATGGTTATTTGTTTTTTTAGCTTCTTCAACATTTTCACTGGTCCTGATACATCACTGTTCAAAAGTTTGGGGTTAGTAAGATCTTTTTTTTTCCTGTAAGAATGCTTGAATGCTTTTCTTCAACAAGGACACATTACATGAAACAAAACTCATTAAAAAATGTATCATGGTTTCCACAAAAAATATAAAGCAGCTCTACAGTTTTCAACTTTGTTAATAAGATACAGTTTATTGTCAGATTGATTTCTGAAGGATCATGTGACACTGAAGACAGGAGAAATGGCTGCTGAAAATACAGCTGTGCTATCACAGGAATAAATTACATTTTAAAATATAAAAATGTAATATTTCACTGTATTGTTTTTACTGTATTTTTGATCAAATAAATGCAGCCTTCGTGAACATAAGAGACTTACCGACCCCAAACTGTTGAATGGTTGTGTTAAATTAAATAAACAAATAAATACATTTAATTTTGTAGCTATTTATTTTTATATTGATATGCTTTAATACATTTTTTAAATAAATACATTTTGATTACTTGAAAATAAATGATATAGCAATAGTGCAATGTAGCTCCATGACAGCAATACATACTTTTGCTGGAAAATGCAGTCATACAATGCAAGACATAGTTTGTGTGTTTTTCTTTGTGATCTCTCATACACGTGAATAACTAACAAAACAGGCAGTTAATTCCATTGCTTTGGAATAAATGCTTAATAGAAAACGAAGCGTTTGAGAGAGGCGGGGCATAGAGGACCTACAATAATGTACAGTATTTGAAAAATAATGTGTTTTTTGAACATTAAAGCATGTCAACATATTCTGTTACACCAAATACACAAAATAATGATATTTAAAAAAGCATCATATGACCCCTTTAAGTACACAATATTGCTACACTTTGATGCAATAAACAGCACCAGCATGTCACAGGCCCTTAGGAATTCTGCCCTTAACTTTGAAGCACGTATCTGCCTCTAACTCATAGTGCACATGCGGGCAGTCAGACCTACTGAGATCCACAGAAAGAGCTCCACTTTAATCATCATGACAATCTCATACCAACCATGACGGAGGAATCCATTGCTTTTCACTATTCATTTGTGTAGCACACAGGATCTAGTGGCCACAGGGGGATCTCACATAGCTGTCTCTGCAATTTCACACATTTAATAATAATGCATGAGCAGAAAACATTGCATCGATTTCAGGGTCTTAATATGCCTGACTGGATTTGATAACATAGCGATAACATAAAATGATGAATTGTACAAGAAGATATATATGTTTTATTTTTCTAAGCTTAACTATGTGTGTGTTCATATCTCAGGTGGTCAAGAGGAATATGTGTTGTCTTATGAGCCAGTCTGTCAGCAGGAAGGTAAAATGCTAATGATTGTCTGTATCAGCAACATTAACCCATGAGATTTCACATCAATGATTCTTTTTAGGAGAATGTGACTGATTTCAATGAATGGTCTTTCCACAGTGAACTACTCGCGACCAGTGATTATCTTGGGTCCGATGAAAGACAGAGTAAACGATGACCTGATCTCGGAGTTCCCTGACAAATTTGGTTCCTGTGTTCCTCGTAAGTATCTGTACACTGTATGAACTGATTAGATAACATGATGAGGGACACATTATTCCAGTTGCTACAGTGGAAATTACAGTGTTGTTTGCAAGCATGTCAAATAAAAAGCCAGTTCAGACTGCATTGACATGGTTGAATATCTTTTATTTTTTAGAGAGATTTGAATAGATGAATTCCTCTAGTAAGTGATGTAAATTATTATTCACAGGGGTCTGTTTGATAGGGCTGCACAATGAATTTGACCATAGGGTTTAGTGAGGTTATTTAACTGTGAATAACTATCATTTAATTAAGAGTAAGCAGGTGCTGTGCCCTTCAAAATGTAATAGACTCAAACCATTCATGGTGCAGTTTGAATAAAATGTGCCTTAATAATACAGAAACAACGCATGTTCTCTTTATTTTAAAACTTTCACAGTTACAATATTTTTGAATTTTATATGTTCAAACAAACAGGTAGAAATCCAATGTACTGATATAGCTTACAAAAAAAAGTCAGAGGTTCTTAACCAGGTGACCAAAGCAAAATACCACTTAAAAAGATTTAAAATAAGCCAAAACAAGCATTAAAATAAGCCAAATCCAGATATTCATTTTTCTAGTTATGACAGACTCTAAAAAAAAATGTAATCGGGTAGAGGTTGTGAGTAAAAAATACTTTCAAAAATCCTCCTCCTAATCCTTATTGAGTAAATCTTGAAAAACTGGAAAAGTCATAGGGCCTTCGAATATTGCTGCACAGAATAAACAGATACAGCACCTATCAGGATTTAATGCTTTATGCATTTGTTCAAATGCACATATACATATTGTATTTGAAACTACAAATCTGCAAACACTTGTAAACTAAATTTAGTAGATATACTACAACCATGGGTTTAGTACAGAAATTAAGCCTGTAGCATATGCTGCTCTCTGTCTCAGATACAACAAGGCCGAAGCGAGATTATGAGGTGGATGGGAGAGACTACCACTTTGTTGTGTCCAGAGAGCAGATGGAGAGAGATATACAGGAGCACAAGTTCATCGAGGCAGGCCAGTACAACAGTTACCTGTATGGAACCAGTGTGCAGTCTGTCAGAGAGGTGGCGGAAAAGGTGAGATCCAGATTTATTTCTCACCATAAGAAGTGTGTTTTATACATACATTACATTTACCAGGCAAAAAAAAGATTTGAATGTCATTACACAATGTTAGGGTTATTGAGGAGCTTAGCATTGTTTCTGGAGAAATAGGCACGATATGCATGATACACCTGCACAACTGCTGACAACACAGGACTATAATGCATACCATGCATCCTTATTGCTTACTGTATGGAAACCCTGTCTTTGGTGCTCTCCTCAGGGCAAACATTGCATTCTAGATGTATCAGGCAACGCCATAAAAAGACTGCAAGTGGCTGTGCTTTACCCCATCGCTATGTTCATCAAACCAAAATCAATGGAGAACATCATGTGAGTAAAAGACAAGGAATCAAACTAGCATTTACAAAGAAGATCATTGTCTATTAACACTCACGCTATCAATGACGGAATACATTTTCAGAGTGCTGATGGAATAGGTGGGATATCTGTTGGAGTCTTCCACTCTACCATATTTGCCATTGTGTCATATGTTGTTAGCTCACAACAGAAAATATTCATAATTAATCATAACTAGTTATGGTTAATTATTCATATTTCCTGTTGTGAGCTAAATTCGCTACACAGTACCCAGTCAAACTCTTTGGGGCACAGTTGAATCTATTTATTTCTCAAAATAGTATAGTATGCAAGGACCACTAATGCATAAAAGTTTTTTTTCTGTCCCCTGCAAGCACTGTAAAATAAAAAAGGGATGTAATGCTCTTTGCTCTCTCCTCAGGGAGATGAATAAAAGACTGACAGAGGAACAAGGCAGGAAGACATACGACAGAGCCATGAAGCTGGAACAGGAGTTCACGGAGCACTTCACAGGTCTGTTTGCTCAATCTGTCTGTGACTCTGATATAGGCATCAAGACAACTGCTAACCCCTACTCACATTTCTGATTTTACAATACATTATATACGTAGCAATGACAAGGTCGAGGTAACACAGGAAACACAAACTGATCGAATGTAATGTGTGTGTGTGTGTGTATATATATATATAGAGAGAGAGAGAGAGAGAGTTGTGGTCAGAATTAGTAGGCCCCTTGGTAAATATGAGCAAAGGAGGCTGTGAAAGATCTGCAATGTTTATCTTTTTGGTCTGTTATTCAAAATATTCACAAAAAATTCATCTGGCCATGGCAGAATCTTCATTTTGTGCTCAGTGACCCATTTGTATGTTGATTTTGATGTTTGTTTTGGACCCTTGTCCTGATTGATCATCCAACCAATTATAAGATTTCCAGCAGAGGCAGTCAGGTTTAGATTTTTTCTCTATTGGTATTTGATCAAATCAATGAAGCCATGTATCAGAACAAGATGTCCAGAACCATTTTGGTTTCATCTGACTATGGAACGCCATCTTGTTTTAAGTTCCAGTTGTGTCTGGCAACTGAACATGCTGGAGTTTGATTTTGGGTGAGAACACAGGATTATTTTTTTTTCTTCTTGAAACCCTCCCGAGCAACTTGTGGTTATGTACGTAGGTGCTGTTTGATATTATCTGAGGCTTTCTGACCCCAAGACTCTTAACTAATTTCTGCAGTTCATCAGCTGTGAATCTTTGGCAATTCAAACGATCCTTTTCGCCGTGCATTAAGACAACATAAACACACGTCCACTTCTGGGATGATTTTTAACATCTCCAGTTGATTAGAACTTCTTAATTTTTGAACTGACTAACAAAATTGTTGCCTATTGTAGAACTGCAAATAGCTAATCAATTAACTTCACACTGTATTTGATCTGAACTGACTTGAGCTAAATAATGAAACTACTTTTAGAGCTGCTTTACAGCAGAATCTCAACTGTCTCCATAGCCGATTTTCCATAATTGCTTCTGCTATTTCCTGTTTATCTCTATGAAGCTGCTTTGACACAGTCTGTATTGTATAGAGCACTAAGGAAATAAAGTGGCCTTTTCCCTGATGGTAAACATGGGAATTTTCAGTGCTTTACATATTTACTTACAGCCAATTTCTATTTTGTGAAGCTCAACAATTTTTTTGCTGCACATCAGAACTATTTCTTTGGTTTTACTCATTGTGATGGATGATGTTACCTCATATTTGTACTCCTGTAAAACAGGGAAGGATGGCTGGACAATCTGAATTTTTTGAATGAAAAATCATAAGGATAAACAATGAAGATTATATATTATATATATTTTGCATTTGCATTTGCAAACCATAATTTAGAAGATCAAATCTTGGGTTGTCTATATTATATAATTTATTAGGTGTTTTATTCTTGTCACCGCTGTCACCTCACTGTGATCATCTCTGCATTGCAGCTGTTGTTCAGGGGGACACTTTGGAAGAGATCTACGATCAAGTCAAGCAGATAATTGAGGAACAGTCTGGGCCATACATATGGGTACAGTCCAAGGAGAAACTATAAAAGCCTTCAGGAGTTTACCATCCCCCTTTCTCTGCCTGGTTTATTTATTGATTCTGTATTTTTTTTTTCTTTTTGGTAATCTCAGTTGGGTTTCTGCAGATGACAGAATTCACTCAACAGATTAATTCCTTAATCCAGCATACTTCAATCTCTGTTCAGTCCAATATCTTCACCTCCTACTTCTAGTTCCTCAGTAGCTATTTCAAGAGAAGAGGATCTGTCCTCATCAGATCTTTACTGCTTCCATGCTTACAGAAAGCAAAGCTATGCCAGACCAGCATCTGTTTACCAGGGGTTTGGAAACGGTACAGTTCCTTAATGTTTAAGGGAGGTTACTTTGTAAGGACAAAGATGGCGATCTGGATTTTCTGACACGTCTCTTTCATTTTACCCATTTTATTCTGTGTTCTTTTCGTGTAAATGGTAACATGGAGCTCAAGTCTCAGGCATCGGATTCATCAAAATGGTGAGAAACACACAAAAAAGCAAAACTTTGCACGTTGTAGCTTTCGAAGACCAGGTGCTCTTCAGCCCTTGTTTCTCATTGTTCATTTCCACCATAGTCCTGTATGTTCCACACATTCTTTGTTGTTGAATTACTTCTTTTACTTCTCCCTTGACTTGCATTGGCATGCTTATTGTTCTCCTCATTCTGATTGTCTGCGTTATGGAGCCATTGTGTTTAGATGATGTCCCGCTGCACAGATGCGAGACGTGTGCCGCCACTGTTAGAATGTCGGAGTCTACAACAGTGTCTTACGGAGTACGTGTTTTCAACACTTTGATTTACATTTAGGAAAGTGTGCCATTTATAAGAAACTGATATTTTTAAGAGGCAATAAAATGTCACCGCATATGTGGAAGAAATTTATTATACAATGAGATCTTAACAGATATTTAACCCTCCATAAACTGCCTATTTTGTTATAATAAAAGTCTATATTGAGCTTTACTTCAGCACTATTATAATGGGAGTTCTTTTCTTGACATCGTAAAGTGTATATTAGAGCAAGAGATTTAGAAAGAAGAAAGAAATAGTATGAATATATTTTTTTCCCTTTTTCTGTTACCACCCTTTTCCTAAACTGAAACAAATGACAAGATGCAGGGCAGTGAGGGGAATGTGGAGAAAACAGAGCCTAGTACATGATTAACACAAATATTTGAAGCTAGTTCTGTCTTTTCCTCCTCTCTGCCCACCCTTTCAACATCATCTGCTCCAAGTGTGCTACATAAGAGTCGTTATGTGTGAAGAAGAACGTTCTATCCATCCCCTCTCTCAGACACAAACCGTCTCAGCTGGAAGAAGAGCTTCACAAGGCTGACGAAGCTTTGGCACATGGCTGATGTTGTCCAGCTAGAAGCTCCACAGAGGTTTCTTCTTTCTAAACCTGTCCTGGAGAGAGGGGATCTTGCCTGCTCTTCCTTTGACATGATTGTTTTGTATACTAAGACTGCTTGTTCTACCACCTCACCAACTCTGCTTTTTGGGGACATTTTTGGGACTGGAAAAACAGAAACATGTAAATAACCTACTGATCTGATTCATTCCATTGATCAAAACGAATAAGAGAATGGCTAATTCAAGAAAAAATAAAACAAAATATTTCTCATACAGCACAGTGCTGGTGTGAGTCTTCCTTCAGATGGAGGGCTTAAGTATATCTATAAGGTGTGACATTTGCACACACTATTCTGTACACATCGATGCACTTCTGAAAAGTTGTCATTGATTATGGCACAGCTGTTATTTTGTGAGACCATTTCTGGCACCTTAAAGGGATAGTTGACTCCGATTTAAATTCTGTCATCATTTACTCAACCTCATGTCATTCCAATCCTGTATGATTTACTTTCGCCTGTGGAAAATTAAAGATATTTTTTGAGAACACATTCATACTGTATAATAGAAGTCAATGGCCACTAAAACTGTTAGGTTACCGACATTCTTCCAAATATTTTAATTTCAAATAAGAACGTAAGTACTATAGGTTTGAATCGACATGAGGGTGAGTAAATGATGACAGAACTTTCCAACACACTGTCATGACATTTTGTGACTATTTTACGTGATGGCTAAATTCAGGGCTGTCCAACCCTGCTTCTGGATAGCTGTAGTCCTGCAAAGTTCAGCTCAGACTGTAATCAAATACACCTGAACCAGCTAATCAAGGTGTTCAAGGTAATCTGAGTATTACAGGCAGGTGTGTTGGAGCAGGGTTGGAACTGAAGTCTGCAGGACAGTAGCTCTCCAGGTGCAGAGTTGGAGAGCCCTGGGCTAATTCAAATATGTATGATCTGCTTTTTTTTTTTTTAGATATTAGCTTCTGAAGATACAGTGCCTTGCAAAAATATATTTTCATTTTTTTCACATTTTGTGAAGTTGCTGTATTACGCTAAACTGCTTTAAATTACTTTTTTCCCCCACATCAATCTACACTCCATACACCATAATGGTAGCGCAAAAAACTGGGTTTTAACATCTTTGCAAATTTATTAAAATAAAAAACTTAAATGATTCCGTTGCATAAGTATTCATACCCGTATCTGGGACAGTTGAAATTTAGCTCAGGAGCATTCATATTGCTTGTAGATGTTACTACACTTCGAGTGAAGTTAACCTGTGGCAAATTCAATTGAATGGGTATGATTTGGAAAGGCAGAAGCGTTAGAAAGGTCTAACAGCTGATAATGCATATCAGAGCAAAAACCAAGCCCTGCGGTCAAAAGAACTGCCTGTAGAGCTCAGAAACAGGTTTGTGTCAAGCCAAAAAAAATCTGCTTCATTGAAGGTTCATAGAAGCACGTAGTCTCTGTTACCATTAATGGAAGAAATTTGAAACAACCAGGACTCTTCCTAGAGCTGGCCTTCTAGCCAAACTGAGCAAATGATGGAGAAGGGTCTCGGTTAGAGTGGTGACCAAGACCATGACGGTCACTCTAGTTGAGCTCCATGATCATATGTGGAGATGGGAGAAATCTAGAGAAGGACAAATATCACTGCAACACTCCACCGATCTGGGCTTTATGTTGGAGTGGCCAGACTCAATCTTCTCCTCAGTGAAGACACATGAAAACACACTTGGATTTTGCATAAAAAACACCTAAAGGACCCCCAGACTGTGAGAAACAAGAGTCTCTGGTCTGATGAACCTCAATTCCAAGCATCATGTTTGAAGGATACCAGGCACTGCTCATCACCTGCAGAGTACCATATCGCTCCATTAAAACCTCAACATGTCGTGAACACAACTCTCCAATAAAAAAGTGCGGGGGACGAATTTACTTTTTATAAAAAGTGGGGGGGACATGTCCCCCGCGTCCCCCGCGTAATCTACGCCCCTGTGATGATCAATGCTTGTCGCATTAAACAAAAAAGACTCGAGACCGTAAAGGTGCTTCAGCGAAATATTTAGTTAAGGGTATGAATACTTGTGCAATGTACTTATTTCAGTTTTTTTTATTTTTAATACATTTACGAAGTTGTGACAATTCTGTTTTTGCTTAGTCAGTATGGTGTATGGAGTGCAGATTGATGTGGGAAAAAAAGTAATTTAAAGCAGTTTAACATCAGGCAGCAACATCAAATGTTAAAAAATTAATGGGGTATGAACTTTCGCAAGGCACTGTAAGTGTTCTAAGATGTCCATGTCAAATGGTTTAAACACCGTTTTACTCCACTTATGTATTTCTTTGACAGTACATGCAGTTGGACTTGTAACAAGTATTCTTCCAGTATTTTAATGGTTGCTTTATGTATTATGAAAACTCGTTTTCGCTGCAGAGTAGAAACTAAAAACAGGAGAATGGAAAGTTAAAGTTTAAAACAAAGTGACATTGTGAGATATAACGTTAACTCTATAGTAACAAACTACATTTACTTTTATTTTTAACAAAGCCTAAGATACTTTTGATGGTCAGACATCATGCATCTGTCACATCTGCAGTACAGTCATGCTGTGTGTGCGCGTCGTCCTCGTGGAGATCATAAAATGATTACACGTTTAAAATGTTTTCATTTAGTAATCTGTTTTCAAATGTGGTCAATAAGGTGACATAACTAATCCCAAATCCTTCATTTATTTCACAACAAGGCACTTGCAGTCATCCAAGCATCATTACCAGCATTCTTACAGACGTTACAGTGATATTAATTTAATTGAGTTTATTGAGGGCCATAAAACTTACAGTCTTACAGTTGAATTTTCTAAAAGGAGTCTTTAATGACGCAGTCCTCATATTCACAAGTGGCACCGTAGTAACGCCATTAATATAAGGTTCACTCATTCAGCGCTTCATCAGTCACTTTCTGTCTTTTATCGGTCTGTTGGCGTCTCTCGTTCCCTCTTTCACCTCCTTCACAAACGTGTCCCGCAGTCTTGTAGCTCTCCGACCCAAATCTAACACATCTCTGGGCATCTTTGACGTCTCCTCGCGTATCTGGCGAAAAGTCTCGGATCTGAGCGGCTTGGTCGAGGCGTCTATGGCAAGCCGTTTTAGCTTAAAATATCCCCAGTGTTACTCGTCGTAATTGCATTTTTACTAGTAACAATTCAATTAGAGAGCTCTACAATTAAATTCTTACTAGTAACAATGCCAGTTAGAGAGCTCTCAAAATCAATTCTTACTAGTAACAATTATAATTAGAGAACGGCTTGCCATAGGCGTCTTTCCCGGCGATCTGTGCTTTAGCGATGGCGAAGGCCGTGATCTGCGCCGCCCGTCGGATGGGTCGAGACTCCGACAGCTTCTCCACCACTTGAGCGTTATTTATCAAAGCATAAAAGAGCCTCCGCAGCACCATTTTGAACCTGTCACAAACACGTACATTAGATTTCACTGATATTAATAAGGTTTACATTTAGTATAGATTTTGTTAAGCAAGTAAATAATAAATTACCTTCAAAGGTCCGCAATCGACTACTCTACACGCTACTGAGCGGGTCTTTTTCGACGCGAGTTGGTGCCGTAGGGGTTTACACACCACAGTGCCCTCTACAGGCGTGGGGAGTAATACATTTTAAAGGGGTCATATGATGTTGCTAAAAAGAACATTATTTTGTGTATTTGGTGCCAAAAAAGATGTTTATGCGGTTTAAGGTTAAAAAACATTATTTTCCACATACTGTACATTATTGTTTCTCCTCTATGCCCCCCGCCTTTCTGAAACGCATCGATTTTTACAAAGCTCACCGGTCTGAAAAGCCAGGGGCAAGTTCAAGCTCAAACCGGTGTGCACCGTTTTGCTACGGTTTCCGGTTTGAACGACATGTTTCCTGGAAACGGTGTGCAACGGGGTTTGAGATGCGTTTTCTCTTGTTTGGTGGGTGTGTCAAACATGTCAGCCCAATCAGCAGCAGCATGTATATAAACCACGCGGTATTAAAGAGACAGCTCGCACAATGTAATTAACATCAAAATAAATTCACAAGAGCAAGTATATTGTTTGCACATGTTTATTTACATTAAAGGCAAAATAACTGAAATAATAAGGGCACAAGTATAGATCTGGAACTTCTTTAAGTCTGTCTAAATATCATTTAGTAATTGCAATGTCTTCTGGTCCATATCCTTTCCTTAGGAAGGTGTGCTAAATACTGATTAATGTAACATAAAAATACTATACATATTTACATATTTTGCTATTGTATTATGGAGTGACACTTTCATAAACTTTTCTATATTCCTCTGATTATATAATGGTAAATATTACAATAGCATAGCACAACAACTGCGATCAGCAATAATGATAAGCCTAATACTCACAATAAAAATAATAAGGCCATATAGATCATAACACAGTCTCGGAGGTAAGAAGTGGATTAGCCTTCACCTGAAATGTTTGTCTTTTCATCCTGAATTGCGAGGCAAATATTGGATCACAATAATTAGGAACCACAGTTTGCCCAAATCCCTTCATTTGATTGGGATGTTATCTTTTATTCTGGAGGGCAAGGGCAGTGACTGTAGCATTGTTAATAAAAATAACAATTGGTCCCTCGGTATTCTCTTTGCCACCGTGAAGAATTCTCAGTTCCTTAAAGGGTAAATACGGCCGGGAAGTAAGAAAACACACATTCAGTGGTATTCTCAATACTTCAATTTATTCATAGAAATACAGATATTATATAGGCATATGTCGAGGGGAGTTTCACCCTCTTAACCAATGAGGATATGAATAACATACACATATAGGATCTTTGGCCAAGAACATGTGTTTATATAAAATGGCCACATGAACAGAAAAACATGGACATATTAGGAATAGACTTTTGCGAAGAATGCTGAACTATCTTCATGGTTTCATCACGAACCTCATTCCTAGCTATCATGTCCTTATTTGGACATTTGAATCAAGAGAAGCTAATTTATACATTTGCGCATGCATACCTCGCATATGAGTAAGAGATATTTAAAACATAATACAAGAGAGAGAAATGGATACAGGAGGGGGGATTCAGAGAGAATGCGTTGTATAGAGAAGAGTGAGAGAGAGGGAGAAAAAAAGGAGGGGTGAGACATATCTGGAACATTCTCTTAACAAGACAGAGAGTGTTTTCTAACAATCGCTCAGTTTTTAATGAACTCCGTATGTTTTCCTCACATAGACCTACTTACTGCCTGCTGCTCAGAAAAGCCAGAAAACACACAAACAGCTTGATGACAGAAAACAAGACAGAAACGAACTCGTTTATTGTTGCAAACATACTGTGTAAAGTGTGTTTTACAGTTGTTTAAATAAGAGAAATAGCGTGAACTGCTCA